GTTCATTATTATGGTAACTATACGTATAACCCCTTAATTGGGCTACCTATAACCTTAATTACTAAGTCCCATGATCCTCCATGTAGTACCCTCAACCCTAAACCCTATAGATCCTTTAAGGAACCCTATAGATCCCTTTAAGGAGCCCTTTAAGAACGCTTACTAAGTCCCATGATCCTCCAAGTGTCCTCCAGACGAGTTTCACAGAACCTTTAGGGCTTCGCAGGTTGTAATACGGATTTAATAAACTACCCTGAGCCCTAAACCCTAAACCCTAAACCCTAAACCAGTCGGAGTTGGGTTTTCAGACGGATTTCAGACAGGGTGTAGGACGTGCGGTGAGTCTCAGGGTTTAAGGTGCAGGTTTGAGAGTTTAGGGCTTTTTGCAGTGTGCCCATAGCGGCCTGGTGACAGAATTTACCCTCAGTATATCACGCTTTGTTCAGGGTCCGCCGCTTTGGGTTCTTCCATTTTTGGCATGGCTGCAGGTGAATTCGGCAATGAAGGGGTATTGGGCTTTTCTGGGTGGTCCATCTCCTGACAGCAACAGGTGCAACAGATGCATGCACAGTTGCATAGATGGATGCATGGATGGATGGCCGGATGGTTTCTTGTAGACATATCATAACGCTTGCGGGCGCATGGACTCTAAGGGGCTACGTGCAGCACGGTTTGCATGTTGGAGCCTCGGGGTTACTGCTTAGCAGTCGGTTATCAGGTTACGGGTGTCGGGCTTCGTGGCGAAGGGCTCCGGTTGGAGGATGCATGGGAGTTTCCGAAAATGGGGGCACCTTAATTTGGGGTCCTTATAATAAGGATCCTACTATTTAGGGTACTATAGTAGGGTCCCTTATACATGGCCCTAAGGGTCCATGTACCCATATAGAGGTACATGGCCCCAATGTACCTATATAGGGACTACATTAACGCCACTGTATATACTATATGAGTACATGGACCCTCAGGGTGCATGCTGTAGGGCTTTATTACCTCGGGGTCCTCGACGTTTTCCGTTGGAGCGCAAGGCAGAGTAGGGTTTTGGAAAAACAGGTGCAGGAGACAACGATACACAGGGCCGTAAGGGGATATTCGGGATATGGACACGAAGACCCACTATACACCCTAAGCCCTTGGATGATGCAACGGTCCTGAGCCCTCCAGTCTCGAGAACCCTGAAGTAAAGCTCCGACTAATCCAAGGGTAAAAGGAGGGACCCTTAATAAGGACCCCTGGGTATAGACCCTTAATATAGCTATTATATACCCATTATATAGCCCATTATAGGGTAGGGGTCCTATTAAGGGTCCCTCCTCTTCCCCTTTGAACTTAGATCCTGCAAAGCCCGTTGCAGACTCACAGGCCTCAACGACCAGACGATCAAGAACCGTAAACCCAGCGTAAACTCGCGCTCAAAGAGGACCCAAACTCCAAAACCCTAAGACCCCGAACGCTGAACCCTGAACCCCTATACCCTGAATAACCATGGTCCTGCCTTGTCCCAAGAGGTGAACTCGGCAACTGACCCCTGAGATCGCCCACCAAAGGGGAGCTAGGCCTACTTCGCAACTTGCCTAGGATAAATAACGTCTAAAGGCTCTGGGGGTTGGCGGTTTGGAAGTTTTAGATCAGGGTTTAGGGTTTAGGGTACCATAGCAAAATCAAGTACATCAGGGTCACCTCCTGCCCGACTGCGTGGAGTTTTGCGGTCTCAGAGAACAGGCTAGGGATTTAGGGTTCAGGGTTTCAAGGCCTTACGGGAGCTGGGTTTATTGTTCTCCCTAAGGGTCCATGTACTCATATAGTATATACATTGGCCTTAATGTAGTCCCTATATAGGTACATTGGGGCCCATGTATCTCTATATGGGTACATGGACCCTTGGGGTTCTGGTTCAGCTCCCGAACTCTACGCCCTCTAAGCCCCAACGCCAAACCCTCCAAGCTTAAACCTGGGATGCCCAGTGACCTAGGAATAGAAAGGGCTCCCTTTTGGGAATTGGGTAACTATATAAGCAACCTAGGACTACAAAAAGCGAGAAAGGGCCCACTGGGAGGCCTACAAACTCGGACTCTGCGAGCGACGATCAATACAAACCTCCCAGTGAGCTCTTTGGGGTCTAGGTTTAGAATTCAGGGTGTGGCGATTAGGGCTTAGGGTTTAAGCATGAATTAGGGTTCGGGAAATGAGGTTTAGGGCTAGGGCATGGATGCGAAGTCGAGTCTGGCCTCCAAAGCTCGCCAGCATCACCCCCAGATTGCACGGTTTAGGGTCTAGGTTTCTGGCCAAGGGCTTAGGGTTTAGGGTTCTGCTCTTGCAGTGAACATCAGGCTTTGGATAAACACCTCTCGACACAAATTAAGTTAAAAGCCAGACTCTCCCGGACTGTAGTGGTCAACTAGTGTAGCTATACACTTTGGCCTTACAGTACTTGAAATGTACAGGAACCCATTCAATTTAAGACCTAAGCAAGCAATATGCTGTGCACCAATCCTTGTGAGGTTTAGGGCTTAGGGTGGAGAGCTTTGGGCCGGATGTAGGAACTTTATTGAATGGATACACCTTAAAGGATCTGGAATCGTTCACGCCATAACCAAACGTGCAGCCATAAACCCCTAAACCCTCAACTGCACTAAACCCTAAACCCCAAACCCCTACACCAGGGGCTTAGAGTCTATAAGGGTTGAGGTTTTAGGCTTGCTGTATTTTCGTGTAGTATAGCCCAAAACCCTGTTGTAATTTTTACTTCCCCCAGATTATAAGACCGGGCCCAGTGCTGGCAGTTCCGTCTTTCGAACGATGGCTGGCCTTGCTACCACTTAAAGGATCATGGGACTTAGTAATAACTAGGGTTATTATTAGAGTAACTATACTTATAACCCCAGTTATGGTACTTATAACCTCAGCGCAAAGTCAGATACATCAGCTTACGGTTTAGGGTTCATGCAGGGTTGAGTGCTTAGTTTACCCCCAGGTTCCTTGTACGCATATAGAGATACATGGGCCCCAATGTACCTATATAGCGACTACATTAAGGCCAATGTATATACTACTATATGAGTACATGGACCCTTAGGGTTAGACATTGTGCAACAACACCTGTTCGTTCCTGCTCTGCCCGGAGAGACCATTACCAGAAGTCAGAAGACCAGCTATCTTCAATTATGGGCGGCTTTTGTCATGTTCCCTAATTATAGGTATCGGGTTACGAACAATCACAACTAGAGTTGCAAGCACAAGAACAAAGACGGCTGGTAATTACAAACGCTTGGCTCGAGGATCACATGCTGCACCCGTAGCACACCTTATCAGCGCACGATTGGAGGCCTGATGAAGCATACATCGGCCATATATGCTGTAAATAGACAAAAAAGTCGTCGTCAACTGCACGGAGTCATCTGGAGACCAGGAAAATACCTACTGACCTACTTGCGAATACGAAAAAAACACTGATTACGCTGAACACCAGAGCACAGCGTATATGTACACTACACGCACTATATTATGATAGGGTGTTGGGACCGTCAGGGCTACTGCCACATACTATGAACACAGCAGCTGTCGCTGCTGTAATTCTTGCTGTTCTGCTATGTTTTGTTGGCGTGGAGCTTGGTAGCTCACAAGCAGCTTGCACGGACACATATTATTACGAGTCCACCGATGAGAACTGTCCTTGAAGTCCCACCCAACTATGTAATCCGAATGAGCCGATAATCAAGCAGTTGGGCGTAGTATGTTAGTATATTTGGGGAGTATGCGAGAACTAGCTGTGGCTGTAACCCTAAATCCCTAAACATAAAACTGTTAAATCCTGCAAATGTAGAATCGGGAACCAGGCAAGGCACTTCCGAGGCAAAGCCTGTCCTCCGCAAACCCTGCATCTTGAACTCAAAACCCTTACCCTAAGGGTTCATGTACCCATGTAGAGATACATGGGCCCCAATGTACCTATATAGGGACTACATTAAGGCCAATGTATATACTATATGAGTACATGGACCCTTAGGGATTTACAATCAGTCAGGTGCTCATAATATGGGGCCCTGAATGATTTGAACGGGGTTTCGAGGGTGTGGCTTTGCACTGGTACATACATCTGTTCAAGGAACCCTTAGGATTCATGGCTTTGCTTGGAAGTTTTGTGTGAAGAACCAATCCCAAAGGGTCCAAAGTACCGATATAGTAGAATGTAGGGTTTCTATATTAGGAATTACTATTATGATTTGGGGAAGTACTTAAAGGATCATGGAACATAGTGGACTAGGGTTATTATTCAGGTAACTATACTTATAACCCCAATTAGGGTACTTATAACCCTACTTGCTAAAGTATTCTCCATAACAGTACATCGGACCCTTTGGGAATCGATCTGACAGAGTTCCGGACTCCGGTCGGAACACGTTCATCGCCTGCTCAAGGGATTAGGGTTTAGAGTTTAGGGTTTTAGGATTTAGGGTTTAGGGTTGAATTACCTTAAAGACCTATGCCTAAGTACTGATATAGTTAAGGGATCCTTTAAGGGTGCCATAAGGGATCCTCTGAGGGATCTATAAGAGTTCGATGAGGGTTTAGGGTATAAGGCTCCATGTACTCATATAGTATGTACATTGGCCTTAATGTACTCCCTATATAGGTACATTGGGGCCCATGTATCTCTATATGGGTACATGGACCCTTAGGGCAATGAAGGTTTAGGGCGTTTAGGTGTTCTTTTAAGGGTTCCTGTAATAGGGCTCCACCAGTCTACAAGGTTTTGGGGTTTCTGCCTCTGGGGATCTAAGGTGCTAGGGTTTGGGGGTTTGCTTGTCTACCCAAGAGGGTGCGTCTGAGGGCTTTATGCGTATGCTGTACTGTAGAAGCATTCCCCTATAAGCCTATATACGCTGGCCCTAGCATCCCGACACCATAAACTTACCTTTGGTTAGTACGGAATGGAAGAATGGTAGTAATAGTAGTTATACTTGTACCCCAGAATCGTGCTAAACACCTCGACTCCACTGGGCCTACACCAACTCCACTGCCTGGAGGCCCGTCGCCAGGTTCACGTTCGCATTGTAGAACTTGTCTAAAGCTCCTTCCTCCCGGTGCATCCTCGCGACGAAGAGTCAGTCAGATTTTGTTGTTTTGGTCTCTGTGTGCCTTATGCTGGGATTTTGGGGGCCGAATACGTTGTGGGAACCAAGCCCGCTCCAATAGGGCCCCCCCCAAAAGCACATAAGCAAAAATGAGGATAGGGACATCCCGTATTCCAGAGTACACCCCCTTATCATGGAGCTCAATGAGGTAGGCATATCGCTGCTTGTGCTTATTATGTGCTTTTTCGGGTCCCTATCCAATGCTCTTCAGCACTGTAGCCCCACACTGCGCTTCAATGTGTGCAGGACTTATGGTGCAGCGTCTATTTATTGCTTAGGCTTTCTATGTGATGGCCGCCGGTCCCGAGAACAATCTTGAGGAACTCCATATCAACCAGCCCGCAGATCATGGCGGTCGTAGTCGCCTCCGAGGCATTTAGGACTTCGAGTTGAGTGCTTGGGTTTGGATTTGGATGCAGGTCTGAACCCAGCACTGCTAGAGATTTTGGGCCGGTGTAAGCTTCACGTTTCTCAATCCATGCCTGCAATTGCTGACTCAAATTGCTAAACTTTCAAGACGAAGCTCGCAGCTGATAAGTACAACATCTTAACAATCCCTAAGGGTCCATGTACTCATATAGTATATACATTGGCCTTAATGTAGTCCCTATATAGGTACATTGGGGCCCGTGTATCTCTATATGGGTACATGGACCCTTAGGGAATCAAAACTTGCAGCTCTCTAAAGCCTACCCTAAATCCGTGCGCCGAGGCCATAGCCAAAGCAGGGATGATTCGTCCGGCCGTCACCTTGACCTCGGCAAAGCATCAGCCCGAAAGCACACCTAAGTCTGAAGCCAGTTACAGTATGATCAACTCTAAAAGCCTCAAACATCAAAACCGAAGAACACTCCTTGAACAACTAAGCCCATAATGAACACGATGAGCCGTTCCTGGCCAAGAAAAGTGGAACCACATGGCGAGGAACATGGGCTGTATTAGTGTATGGAGCTTGGCCTGGATTGCTAGCTCACAAAACACCTGGAGCGGTCCGATTAGCTGTAAAGGCTGTAATTGAGTGGAGGGTCGGGTTTGACAGCACGTGCCCAAAATATCCTACGTAGACCCTATAACCCTAAACCCCCAAGCCATATACGTCTTAATCCAGACCGGTGATTTGGAAGTTTCCGAAAATTAGGATTTTGGGGTCCTTATAATAAGGATCCTACTATTTAGGTTACCATATTAGGGTCCCTCTATTTTCGGAAACTCCCATTTCTAAACCCCGCATAAGAAGAGGATCACCGGGCGAGGAGCTGTGGACCTCTCTGTGTGCTTGATGTCGTAGTTGCTCGCCCGAAGGTTCGTCGAGGCCTCATCGGGGTACTTTCGGGGTTGCGGGCCAGTTTCGGAACTTCTATCCTGACAACTCTAAATTGTAGGGTGCAAATTCAGGTTGAGACGATGGCGGTCTGCCACGTCTGGCAGCTAGCCTTTGTGTGCGACGTACTGCGGCTACTGTTTCAGGTTGCGGAAAACGGAACACACTGGCATGTGCGATCGTGATAAGAATGACTGAGGTTCTCTTCCGCCGTATGCCGTGCCAACAGCTCTTGTGATATGCACAGCTACTACCACTTCCATCACCACAGCCACAGCCACAACTTTGTAGTACGACGGAGACCACTTTGTCTACTGCCCGTGTGCTACAAGTACTATTGCTGCTACTAGCTGCTAATTACTGCCGCTCCTGCTGCTTTTTATTCTTGCTTCGCTACTTCTGCTGCCACTACTCCCTAGGGCTCCCGTCATAAATAACAGGTTACTCAGTACTATCCTTTGCTATCCATAAAAGATGCAATCCAGTAACCCATTCTGTAGACTGGAGCCCATTGGAGTGCTACAACTACTATATATACGTCTTGTGCAGTAACCGACTGCCTGTTGCTGCTGGTACTGCTGCAGCTACTTCTAGAACTAAGACATTGCCCTGTTGTAGGTTAGTCACTAGTTCCCTACATACCGAATCGAGTCTAAGTCTTCCCCCCCCCCCCAATTTCAATTGTAAAAAATAAAGTCCGAACCCCAAACTCCTAGCCTACTGAGCTTCCTTCTTCTTGTCTGGGCCCCGAGCCGTGAGGAAGTCGATGTGGAAGTTGGTGTCGTCATCCTTTTCGAAGTCGTGAGCCTCTTGGAAGTGTCAAGGAAAGAAGGAAGAGCTTTTGTTTTATTGATGATTAACCGGGTTTCAAGAGCGATCTATACGGTCTTGTCGGGTTTGTACTATATCGAGTCTACAGCTTGTATCATGGAATTCGCAAGGTGTCAGAAAAGATGTTTAACGTTTTGAAGGGTCAATAGGCGCTTCTAGTATCTGTACAGGGTCAGTTCTGCTTTGTAATATAGAGCCTCTTGCGAGTGTCACAAAGACAAGGGCACGCTCACTGTATGATTCCAAGATAAAACGACAACCCCTAAACAAGGCCTCTCTGTTATTTGATAATTCACGTCTCGAGTATAGAGCCAGGGCCTAGAAGATGGGACACCGTGTAAGCCCCCGTGTGGAACCTGCAAACAACCCCTTGAAAACAACGATAGTGCAGGAAAACAACAGCGGCCAAGTACCAGCCAAGTCGACGCAAAAGCACCCAACAAGTTGGGCTCCGACTACGACAGTACGCAAGACAGAAAATGTTCCAATATAATTCTATCTAGAACATGCCTGACTCCCGCATCTTTGCTGTGCTGCGCTACACGTAGCACTCTGGCAGATGTTGCGACAGCCTGGCAATTTGAAGCGGTTTTTGTCATGTATTGGCACTCCAGTCTCACCAAATCAATGGTCGCTGATTGTGCAGATGGACCTGCATGAACAGACAAACTCGTTGCAAGTACCCTGAAGTGAGGCACACATGGTTTCAAGAGAGCCCTCGTTTTTCGCTGGGAGGAGTATGGAAGATTTATTGGCTTCGGTTCCGCAAACTCCCTAGACCCTATAGACACTGAACACCTGGGCCCTAAGTCGCCAACCTTGGGTCGTCGGTAATCAGCAAGGCAACCAAAAAAAAACTGACATTTTAGGGTCTAGGCAGCATTGCTGACTGGCCTGGCCCAGAAGAGAATTCTGTTACTCTGGTAGGTATATGTAGGAACATGTAGGGAATACTTGCGCCGAAACGGACCTTCAACGATGATAGGATGACGGAAGCCCCAAACCCAGCTACCAACGAGATGCGCAACACTAAATCTTGATATCCTGAACCCCAAACTCCAAACCCCTGCAGTGCCCCAGAGCATAATTGCCATTGAGTCTCAGCTACGAAGTGCCTTCCCGAAATGTCTAAGACCTATAATAGCACGAGTCAACCAATCTAGGCCCTTTTCAAAGCCAACAGCAACAACAAAATCTCATGTTCTTGCGAAACCCCCTAACCCAAGCCAAAAAAATCTCAGGTACCGAGACACTAACCCTAACTATGGGGTACTTGAAGGAGCATCTGACATAGTAAGGTGATAAGCACATCAATTCTGGAAAACATGCAATTATACATATGGGTGGTTGTCAAAATTAGGGTCCCTTTTTGGGTCCCTAATATAATACGGCACCTAGTATTTAGGGTACCCAAAAAGGGACCCTAATTTTAACAGCCACCCATATAGTTACTTTACCTACGGTTACTAAGTCCCAGAGTCCCATGATCCTTAAACCCTCAACCCTACCTATAGTTTCCATTGTAGTTCCTTTTTGGGGCTTAACCAATATTATATTAAGGATCCTAAAAGGTACCAAGGAACTACAATGGAGACTATAGGTAAACCCAAAACCCCGAAGCCTAAACACAAACTCCTAACCCTAGCTACTTTAGGTACTATAGGGGCCTTAAACATTACCTATACTATTTTGGGGGTTCCTTATTACAATTCTAGTAGAATGGGCCCCAAAAACCTATTCTAATTATTAAGGCCCCTACCCTTATAGATACCTGATAGTAACCCTTACAGACCCCTTTAAGCTTTAAAGGAACCCTATTCTAATTATTCAGGCCCCTTTATTATCCGGGGCTCGGCGGGGCCACCTCGCACTCCCGGAGGCTTTGGGGGTCCACCTTGTAAAGCTCAGCCTGGGCTGAAGGGTTTATGGGTTTGGGGTTTAGGGTTTAGGGGTTTAGGGGTTTAGGGGTTTAGGGGTTTAGGGGTTTAGGGTTTAGGGTTTCGGGGTTTAGGGGTTTAGGGTTTAGGGTTACCTTGTAAAGCTCAGCCTGGGGACAGGCAAAGGCTTTGGGTTTGGCGTTGTGGGGTTTAGGGGTTAGGAGTTTGAAGTTTCGGGGTTTCAGGGGTTTACTGGTTAGGAGTTTAGGAGTTTAGGGTTTAGGGGGGTTCAGGGGTTCAGGATTTAGGGTCTAGGGTTGTGCGGTATAGAACAACATGACAATGATAAGGAGCCTGGGGATGAGACTGGCAGTTGTTTACTGGGTCTCCATGGCTTTACCCATAGGCCCCAAAGTAGTTCCTTTTTGGGGTTACCTAATAGGGTTCTGAATATGAATCAAGGCTTTGGGGGTCGGTGCTTTAAACCCTTCAGGACTTTTGAGCTCCTGAAGTTTCAGGGCTTTGGGTTGCACACGCTCTTCAGGGTCTTCAGGGCTGTCTAGGCTTACAGGGTGCGGGGCTTGGGCTTTCATCTTTGAAGCCTTGCTGGGTTGGAGTGCAGGGCTCCAGGGCCGTGTGTTTGGGTGCCGGGAAACTCCATGTATAGTGTGGCCCCAGAGTACCTCTGCTTGGAGTTACTTGGACTTCAGGCCAAAGTATGTACTAGTTGGACACATGGACCCTCGGGGAACACTAACCTACTACACCAAACCCAAATATTTTCCGAGGCTTGTCTAATGGTGCAAGTCAGAAGTCTAACGTTTACCCTGCGGGTTCATGTCCTCATGCAGTATGTACTTTGGCCTTAAAACGTACCCAGATGGGACTGCTTGAAGGCCACAGCATACTCTATTTTGACACATGGAGCCCTTATGGGACAGACTTACGGTTGATGATATAAATCCTGCATGACCCATAATTAATATGGAATAGACTATAATTCCCATAGTTTAGGATCCTTAAGGTAATGCAGGATTCATATCATCAACCGTAGGATGACTGACTTAGGCTGCATTTTGGTCCTTCGGACCGCGGGTTGCGGGTTTGGAGCTTAACTAGGGTTTGCCCTAAGGCCCTAAAGTAGTTCCTTTTTTTGGTTCATATTTAGAATCCTATTAGGTAACCCCAAAAAAGAACTACTTTGGGGCCTATGGGTGGGGTATGCTTAGTGCGTGCTGGCGTTTCTTCTGGCATTCAAAAACATTCAGTTCTGGGAAAGGGCTCTTCGACTCTTTGGAAGGTGACTTCCAGATTTACTCATGTAGGCCACAGAGTTCATGTCGTTGACCAACCCTGCTGAGTCTTGCAAACCCTGCATAATGCCATGCCCTACAGCAATGCCCACTGATGTCGAACAGAAGTCACTCGAAGGGAAACAAAACTGAAGATTCGAAAGCCCGGAACCATGTTCCCGGATTCCAGCCTTCAAAGCCTCAATTGCAGCGGGGTCCACTTTGTCCCCATCGTCCTCCTTTGTTTCTCTAATGTGTTCGAGAAAAGGTTCGGGCTTCATGGGGGGGCAGTGCTCAGAGTGCAGGCTGCAAAAAGTCCACTAGCTGTCCTGATCGTCTGTGCGCTAATATTTATTTCTAAGACCGTGTTTGGGCCTTCGTATCTATCTCTACTCGTCCTCCTCCCCCACCTCCTACTCCTACAATTCACTCGCACTGCCTGTATTACTCCTACTCCTCCTACTCCTCCTACTCCTCGAAACTCCTCGATCTCCTCGAACTCCTACTACTCCTACTACTCCTACTACTCCTACTAGTCCTACTACTCCTACTAGTCCTACTGCTCCTACTACTCCTACTGCTCCTACTCCTCCTGCTCCCCCTGCTCTCCTGGTGTCCTGCTCTCGCTGCTCCTGCTCCTGCTACGCCTACTCCTACCCCTGCTCTTACCACGACCACTACCACTACCACTACTACTACTGCTACTACTACTACTACTGCTACTACTACTACTACCACCACCACCACTATTACTACTACTACTACTACTACTACTACTACTACTACTACTACTACTACTACTACTACTACTACTACTACTGCTACTGTCACGACTGCTACTTCTACGTCCAGGTTTACTCGTACTTCTACTTATTCTTCCTGCTTCTACATTCTACATGCTACATGCTACATTGTACATTCTACTTCTACTTCGACTACTACGACGACGACTACAACGAAGGCACAGAACACCGTAAACTTAACTTTAAGTCCGAAATACAAACGCAAGCCCTGGACACTGAAGGCCGAAACTGTCCGCAGACGACCCGGACTAAGCTCCAAGACCCAAACACAAAGAGATTAAAAGACCCCTGAAGAAACCCTTGTTCTCTTCGAAAAAGAGGACAAGACATAAAGCTCTATATACCCTAACCCTAAGGGTCCATGTACCCATATAGAGATACATGGGCCCCAATGTACCTATATAGGGACTACATTAAGGCCAATGTATATACTATATGAGTACGTGGACCCTCAGGGTTCGTTCTTTTCGAAAGGAGGACAAGCCAAAAAGCGCTATATACCCTAGAAGGGGCCCCCACCCTGTCATAGTGGTATAATAAGGAATATAATAGGGCCCGAATATAATCCTTATAGTCTCTATTACAGGGTGGGGGCCCCTTCTAACATATGGGAGTTCCCGAACATAGGAGACCCTATAACATAGTGCCCTAAATACTAGGATCCGTATACTGTAAGGACCCCAAAATAAGGTACCCCTAAATTTCGGAAACTCTAAACCCGTATAGACTCCTTTAAAGGAACCCGTATCGTACCCTTGTAGTAGCCCCTTTAAAGGAACCCCTAAGGTACTCCTTCTAGTATATACCCTACAAGGAACCTTAAACCCTAAACCCTTTATAGAACCTTTATAGATAGCTTTAAGGTGCCCTTATAGATCCCTTTTAAGGCACCCCCATATACCCTAAAGGAACCTGCAAACTGAACCCGGTTACGCCAAAGTGGCCTCGGTCTCGACCTTTTTGTCGGACGGCGGAGCCCATGCAGGCACCTCGTTTGTAAAAGTACTATAGCGGCCTAAATAGTTACAGAGGGTCCAAGTACTCCCTATTATAGGACTTTAGGGCCTTATTAGGTACCAGAAACCATAAATAGGGACTGGTTATGCTATTCTTGAGGGGTCCTTGATATAATTATAGTATGTAATGGGCCCCAAAACCCTTAACCCTATTCTAGCTATTAAGGCCCCTATAGATCATGCTGTTTTAAGTTTGAAGTGTTCTTGGTTCTACGTTTCTACGAGTTTGGGGCTCGGGGTGTAGGTAGGATGGTCGCAAGGTCTCTCAACATGCAGATTTCTGGTTCAGGATTTGAGGATCAGCATCTTGTGACCACCGCTAAGCAAATAAACTTTCGGTTCCAGATGCGGACGGATTTTGCGAAGCCACCCCGGGACCCTAAAGCGCTAAAACGTCTGGACCCTAAACCCTAAACCCCAAACACGTGAATGCTGAACCCCTGAACCCCACAGCCCACACTCTAGACCCTGAAGCGTTGAACCCTAAAAGCCCTCAACAGCCACCCTGACACCCGCCTTTCTCTGGCTGGGATCGGGGATTGGGGTTTGGGGCTTATGGTTTCAGGTTTGGAGGTAGATAAACCCTAAGGGTCCATGTACTCATATAGTATATACATTGGCCTTAAAGTACTCCCTATATAGGTACATTTAGCCCAAAGTATATATGCTATATGGGTACATGGACCCTTAGGGAAAGTTCCATGAAGGGTTCTAGTTTTGCATCTCGGGGCCCGATGAAAGAGAAGACTCTGCCAAGGGTAGCTCTCGGATTTCGGGTTGACTTACCTTTGGCTAGTAGGGAATGGAAGAATGGTAGTAATAGTAGTTACAATAATACCCCCTTCCTCCATTCCCTACTAACCAAAGGTAAGTTTAGGGCACCAGAAATCCTTAAGACCCCTGACACACCAAATCTCACCTCCACAAGTAACGCAAGTTCGCTGCCTGCAGGTTGAGCTGCACCACGCGCTTCTGAAACTCCAAGCGGTTCCTGACGAAGGGCACCTGATCGAATGGAGATTTGGGGCTTTGAGGGTTTTAGGGTTTAGGGGTTTAGGGTTTAGGGGTTTAGGGCTCTTTGAAAAGAAGCATTCCCTGTGTTTGGGCAGGAAATTTTAAGAGGAACTCCGAAGGCTTTGAGGGTTGAAACCCTTCCAGGATTAGGGGAGGTGTTGCCGATTAAGGATGTGAGCAGTAGACTTGCGCAGCCCCAAACCCTAAACACTAAATCCTATAGAGCCCGAGCCCGTAGACGCTTTAGGGTTTAGGTTTTGGGGCGTAGGACCCCTACACCCCTCGAATAAGGCTTCTTCCTTAAGTCAAAAGTGCCTGTACTAGCTTAGCGAAGAAAGGGTAATGGGCTTTCTGGAAAGCCACTGCAGTTGCGGAACCAACACCCAACCTAGATACCATGCATGGGACTGGTGTGCACATGACAATAGACAGGGCAAGCTGGCAGCACCATGTACTTACCTTTGGTTAGGAGGGAATGCAGGAAAGGGGTACAACTATAACTACTTTTAATTACTACCATTCTTCCATTCCCTACTAACCGAAGGCAAGTGTATCAAAACAGCACGTTCATCCAGACAGACCTTGTGCAGACATGCTGAAACCACACTACCACTGTACAACAGTGAATTTGCCTTTGCTTGTCAATCGTTCATATGGGTGGTTGTCAACATTAGGGTCTTTTTTTGGGTACCCTAAATAATAAGTGCCGTATTATAATAGGGACCCAAAAAGGGACCCTAATTTTGACAAGCACCCATATGTACATGACATAGACATACAGACATACATAAATATAGACTGACATCTCGCAAGCGGGAGAGGCAGAGAGAGAAACGGATAATCTGCATGCATACATGCAAATGTATACATACATGCATACAACCATAAAACAACAACACAAGGAGGGAGGGGTGAGAGAGAATAACTGCACCAGGCCTTCCACATGAAGGCGTAGCAGTTCGCTGTAGCGTAGAGATACCTCCAATGAGCATGGAGAAAGCTTGCCCGACACGGCATCCAGGCCTCAATGCTAAGACTCCATCTAAATAGGCATACTGTCACCCAGCCTTAAGTACCCAGACGACCCAGACTCAAACACATGCTTGAACACTAAACCCCTAGATCCCGACGCCCTAAGATCTCCTCCTCATCAGGGGTTGCTATGCAGGACTTGTAGACGCTAGGATGTAAGGTCAGGGTCCGGAGTCTAAGAGTTTGCGCTGTTGGCTTTGCATTTCGCAGATATACACGATACTTACCAGCTCTGGCATCATTCATGCAAGAGAAGCCAGAAAAGAAGGTCACAGTCTCCCTCAAACCTTCTACCAGGATGCCACACGCTCGTACCAGGACTCCCTGTCTCAAAAGGTAGACGCATTCTCTGAAAAGCCAAACAGGATAATATGATACTTTCATGACTTCGAACTTCTGTGTAGGGCCGAGAAAGAGGCCATGGAGTAGGAGATACGGCGCATTCTGCAAATCAGTATCCAGTATCCTGTACTCCACAATCCTTTTTATAGTTCATATAAAGCCCAAAAATTTCAAGTCCTAAGAGCCAACCAGAAGAACACCAAGGAGTGTGAGGCTTACGCTCTTAATGACAGGGGAGGACCGACTTTTCCGAACCCTAGTGCACAATGAAGATAAACATTCTCATAGTACTACATGCAAAAACGACCCGCATCCTTAAAATGAATCTCCTAAAGCCCTAACGACCCTGAAACCGTATATGCAAAAACGTAAATCCTAAACCACTAAACTTCTTCCCCCTAAAGCTGGACCCCTAAAGAGACCTGTCGATACCTTTACAGAAACCCCCTGCTAGAACTAAACCCTAAGCCCCTCAACCCCTGAACCCTTACACCCCTAAACCCGAACCCCCCCTAACCCCTAAACCCTAAATCCTTAAACCCCTAAACCCTAAATCCTCAAACCCCTAACCCCTAAACCCTTAAACCCCTAAACCCGAAATCCTAAGCGGCATCTGGGCTCCACGCTCGAGAGCTTCTGCAGGAGGGGCTGAGGCGTCCCACTTCGCCTATCTAGGCTTTAGCATTTGGGGCTCATGGGTTTTGGGGTTTTGGGTTTAGGGTTTTGGGGTTTAGGGTTCATGGGGGGCCTTTAGAACTTTAGGGTCAAGTGTGAGGTATAGAATGCAGTTTAGGGGGGAACGGTTTGGGGGCTTGCATGGGGGATGCATATATGGTATCTAAACAGGGTTCATTCAAAGTTGAAGGTGCAAGGTTTTGGGTCTGTTGGTGCCTAATCTCGCAGACCTGAACCTAGAACCTGAGTCTCTGCACCCCGCAGTCTCTAATACAAAGAACTAACCCTAAGGGTCCATGTACCCATATAGAGATACATGGGCCTTAATGTACCTATATAGGGACTACATTAAGGCCAATCAATGTATATACTATATGAGTACATGGACCCTTAGGGTAATAGTCCGAACGCCTAGTCCACCCTTGAGGCGTCTACAGAAACCATAACGAAGGTATGGCAAAGTGTGTGCAGAGACTAAGCCTAAGCCTCAACCCGAGACTCCGAACCCAGATCCCTAAACCCGGTTAGCCCTACTAGCTTACACTCCCAGAGATCCCAATATCCCTTAACTATGGATATATACCTTAAATTATAGGGGCCTTGATATTATGGTTTAAGGTTATTCCTTAACTAACGGGTATTGGGATCTCTAGGCTTGTAAGCAAGCGCGACATTCGAACAATGCTTCCTGTCTGGGCAAATAATTGGCACACTCGCACACATGCATGTGCGGCTTTGTGGCTTCAGACTTGTCGGCAGGATATGCATACAATACACTTGCGGATGCACACGCCCGGACAGACGACACCGGGCCAGACAAAACCTCACAACATCACATCAGAGCACACTTCACCAAACGAACCAAGGCACCAAACCGAACAAAACCACTAAAGCCACCCAAACCGAACGAAAACAACTACCAAACCAACCACACAAACAAGCAAGCATGCACCAAGCAAAGGTGCATGTAAGCGCAAACCACTTTCCGGGCAAGCCCCCAAGAAACAACACTCAGCAAGCTCCACGATACTAGACCTTTGCCTGAACCCTGCCTAGACTCGAAACTCTCATCCCTAAACCCTAAGCCCTGTTCACATCGTACCTAAACCCTAAACCCTGTATACATCCTAGACCCAAAGCCCCAGACCCTGTATATACCCTGGACCCTAAAGCTTAAATCCTGTATACACCTCAGAACCCTAAACCTGAAACCCTGCATACTGCATGCACCCTAGCCGTAATCCTAAATCCTGTGCTACCCCAAACACAAAATGCACCTTAGACCCTAAACCTTAGCCCCTGTATGCATCCATAGCCCTGATCCTAAACCCCACGCTACCCCAATCCAAAACCCAACACTACCCGAAACCCAAACCCTAAGGGTCCATGTACCCATATAGAGATACACGGGCCTCAATGTACCTACATAGGGACTGCATTAAGGCCAATGTACATAGTTATATAGCTATATGAGTACATGGACCCTTAGGGAAACAGAGCAAAAGGAAGACGTGGAGGGACCTCGATGGGGCGCCTCTTCGTACCAGTCCAGAAGGGCCTTTTAAAGGACTGTTGCGAGGGGACCCGTGGAGGTCTTAGTTATGAGACTAGGGCTCCTTTAAAGGGGCCTTAGTTATGAGACTAGGGCTCCTTTAAAGTGATGTTTGAAACCCTAAACCCTAAACCTTAAACCCTGAACCCTAAACCCCAAACCGTGAAGGGGTCTGCAAGGGGTCTGTGATATACGGGCGGGAAGGGTTGTGGTTGTGGGTTACTTTTGGTGTTTAGCCGGCAGGTTTTGGGGCTCTAGAGTTCAGGGGCCTGAACCAGGAGAGTACCCAGAGCCTCCAAAACCCCTTAATTAAGGAATATACCTTAAATTATAGTAGGATCCCGAAGATGATTTTAAGAAATACTCCTTAATTAAGGGGTTTTTGGAGGCTCTGGGTGGGGTGCCTTGATATGGGGCCCCTTTATAAGGAGCTACAAGGTTGGTCATAAGGGCTACCACCCTGGTAAGTGAGTGTCGGACCCTGATAAACTTAATAGGTTTATGGAGCGTTCAAGACTACATATTACATTATAATGCTGTAGTTATATATGGGCCATAAAGGAATACCAGTACATGTATTTGAGCTTCTGTATTCGGCTATGCAGCAGTCAGGGTCTTCAGGTTTTCCCTCAACCCTTCAACCCTTAGCCGTTCACTTCATGGGGCTGGCAGACTGAGCTCTGAACTTGCCCGTGGTCTTCTCGATCTCATCCTTTTGGTCAGACTACTTGGAGGCTCATGAGTGGTTATAAGTCGAGTTTACAAGTAGGATAACTAGAAATATGACCCATAGAAGAGGGCTTTTGACCCATGCACCTACAAGTAGGGAGGGCAGTGTCAGGGGTTGGTGGCTTAAGTTTAGGGCTTTGGGCTTGTATCATCAATACTCAGTCTAGAAACATCTAGAAACACGGGTTTGGGGCGGTAGGGTCCTACACCCAGAAATTCGACTTGGCGGACTTCTAGCTTCGTACCGTCTGAGACTGTCTGAATCCTAAACGCCGCACAAGGCAAAGCCCGAAACAACCCCGAACGCCCTACATGTCTAAAATCAAAGTCTCGACACTCACACTGGACATTCAAACTAAACACATTAACGGACGGACCTATGATACATGAACCATCTAGACAACAATACCGTTGATAACAAGCAGAATAACAATACGGGTCGTAATCACAACACAAATCGCAATAGGATTCCGACCCTTTGGCAGGGTTCCCAAAAACCAACAGAACTCGTCACCCGAAACGACAGCAGAGTCCGTTATCCGTTGTGTTGGCCCAAAACTTACAGCATCCGGAAACCTTCACCACAACCCGGACCCCCCGTCAGGGTGGACCACTTTGCTCCGAGCAAAACTGAAGCTTTCAGGGATCCACGGCTAAAAACTCAAGGCCTTGACCCTAAGGGGTGTGATGGCTCCGGGTTGCAAGACTTGCGAATTCCCCAAGGGTCCATGTACTCATATAGTAAATACATTGGCCTTCATGTAGTCCCTATATAGGTACATTGGGGCCCATGTATCTCTATATGGGCACATGGACCCTTAGGGGTTTAGGCCACAAGAACACGAACTCGAAGCTGCGGTTTACAGTCGAGGGTATCGCCTTGATACTAGAACATCCAGGGGTTGTGGAGCATAGCATCGAGCAACAATAGAGGGGAAACACAATAATCAAACCTCGGTCCCTTTTGTATGCTTTAGGGTTGAGGTAGATGAAGCTAGATTTTGAGTTCCTTCCAGGCCCGATGGCAGGCAATACAGCACAGCAGAGCTATCAAACCACAAAGCACCACAAAATCAAGACAGGTATGTCATATACATGTGTGTACATATATACATACATACATATATATATATATATATATATATACGTATATACGTATATAATATCTACACAAACAACAGGAGAGGAGACAACAGACTGAGCTGTGAACCTAATCCCGTGTACCCCATCCCCTTACCTTCTCTTACCTTCTGTTCAAGGTCAAGGTACCCTAAGACTCCAAGTATACAAATAGTACCTACTTTTGGGGTCCAAAGTCTATAAATAGTACCTACTTTGGGCTATTTGGAGTCCTAGGGGTATACCACCCCTGTATAGACTTAAGGGTTCGACGCTTAAAAGCCTACGCAGAGGCCATCTTTCTACAACTGGAGGATTGAGGGTTGAGGGGTAGCCCTTCCCCACATCCAAGAGCACATGCCACAAAGACACCCGATCCGATCCATCAAACAAGGTCAAAACCGCCCAAAGCCCAAACGCCAAAACCAAAACCTTTAAGCCCCAAATCCCACACTCAGAAATCCCAACTCCCAACCGCCGAAACCCCTAATCCCGAAACCCACAAAGACCTCAAATCCAAAACGCCGAAACCCCTAAACCCCCAGACCCGAAAGCCTAAACCCCTAAACCCTACTAAACCCCTAAATCCCTACTGAACCTGACGATCACTGGGGTGCCCGGCGCAGTTGTAGACTAAATCCCGGATGGAGGTTACGAAATCCCGGCCTGTTAGTCTGATAGGTTCGGGTTTAGGGTTTATGGTATAGGGTTTAGGGTTTAGGGTTTGCCGTAGATTGGCGCAGAAGCGGAAGTAGCTTGCGACAGTGTATTGTCGAGTGCGTCGTAATATGACGATTGGCTGTTGGAGCCTGATGGTGGATGGCCCTTTCTTTTAACTCTCCCACCCCACGCCGTCTAAGGCGGCCAAACCACCCAAACCTATTCCTTTTAGGGTTTAGCACCTAAACTCACGAGATGGTTTTCTTTATTTCTTTAGACTAGACCCACACAAAGAAGGGCAGGGCAGGCGGCCAGGGGCCAGGGGGGTCAGGAGTGGCCCGCGGGGCCTGGAAAGGGGTTTTCCAGCGTCCCCGAACTCTGCTCGCTACAGGCCCCAAGCCCCCCCTGCGCTGTCCCTTTTTGGAGGGGGCCCACACGGCCGGGGGTGGGGTTTAGGGTAAAAACATTATTAGGGACCAGTACTGGTCCCGGTACCGGGCCTGACGTGGGTGCTACTGTTCCCATGGCTGTCGAAAGGCGGGCAAGCGTATTGGGACGCTTTGCGCCATCGAGGTCGAGGGGCTTATAAGCGCCGCCCACCCACGGAGGTGGGCGGCCTGGGCCTTGAGTTTAGGGTTTAGGGTTTAGGGGGGGTTTAGGGTTTAGGGAATAAGGGCTTACTCTGGGTCCTAATAAAGAACAGTGGAGGATCCGAACTGTAAGGGTTTAGGGCTTAGGGTTTAGGGTTTAAGGTTTAGGGTTTAGGGGGTTTAGGGTTTATGGTTTAGAGAGTTTGCGGTTCTTTAACCCAGAGGGTCCATGCATACTACCCATATGGAATTATGTGGGTCCCCCAAACCATTCTGAGGATGGCTTGGAAGTCTGATAGGCTCTTTAAGGGCTTAAACAAGAGTCTTAGGATTGCGACTTGTTGCGATATAATACAGGAATCATCCCTAAGGGTCCATGTACTCATATAGTATATACATTGGCCTTAATGTAGTCCCGATATAGGTACAATGGGGCCCATGTATCTCTATATGGGTACATGGACCCTTAGGGAATGCTAACCCTCTTATTCGTAGGGCCCCAATCTATACACCTTACACTATGATCTCCAGGGTTGGTCGGGACCGTACCAAAGGCACTTGAAGGACCAAATGACCCTTAAAAGTAGGGGTCCTTATAGAAGTATACGATGAATCCCTCTAAGGTATATCAGAGCTTCCGAACATTCAGGCTACATTATTTGGGGTCCCTATTATAATCAGGATCCTACTACTTAGGGTACTAGATTAGGGTCCCCTATTTTCGGAAACTCCCATCATATGAATCCTAAACCCTCATCCTTAAGGCAGCCATCACAAGGGCGCGACAGTAGTGGTTGAAGGCGGCCTTGATACAAACCTCAGTCAGGACAGCCTATAAGCCCAAAACTTTAAACCCCCATAATCCCACGATATACTTATGGTCTCTTTGTGGTCTTTTCAGTTAGCCCAAAGGATCCTAAATACAAGCAAGGGCTCAGCCAAAAAAGGAACTACAATGGATACTATAGGTATACTGCATCATCTGTTGAGTTTCAATGACTTTGGGCCACTTCTTCGCTTTGGGGCGCATGAGCGCATGAAGATGAAACATGAAGAGAACACCACAGGAACCTATACTCGGTGGCGGCATATGGTTGATAGGGGTTAAACTCTCGGCCTTAGGGCACAAGTGAGTCGACGGAGAAGGAGAAACGCCATACGCAAATTCTGCTCTTGAATTGTCGTGGTTGTGAGGGTCGTAACTGTAGTCGTGCGCGCAGCAGTCATGGTAGAAAGCAGCAGTTGCTGATTCTCCTTTCCGCTGCGGCCTCCTCCTCCTCCTCCTCCTCCTCCTCCTCATCACCATCACCATCCACATCAACAGCCACTGCTCCTTGTAAACACTACCACAAACGCACCGCAGCACTTTGCTGAGACAGTGACATCAAAATCGATGGCGCCCGCCTGCTGCAGCTCAATGATGCCTTGCGAGGCAGCAGAATTCTACTACCGCCAAGCACAAACACACAAAGACCTTTCAGGCCAGGCTCGGTTTCATGACTTTTTTGGACCGTTGCAGTTAGGATTTCTCGTTCGGGGACCCGCCGGCTCTGCTAATCCGGGGAACCTTCGGAAAAGTGCCCTGCGATCTTGGAGGTGGCTCGATGCTGCATCAGCAAACCACCAGTAAAATCTTCCAAGCGAAAAACCCTGATATCAAGCCTAGACCGGAAAGCCCGAAGCCTCAACCTGAGCCTCAACCTAAAACTTAAAACGAAATATAAATGCCGAAGCCACAAATCTCCAGACCTGAACGCAAAGCCACAAGCCCGCACACAACACACACAGACATCAAACACAGAAAGTCTTGGCCGTGGCGTTGGTGGTATACGTGGTTTAGGTTGCGTGTTTGTGCATTCCCTTTCCCTAAGGGTCCATGTACTCATATAGTATATACATTGGCCTTAATGTAGTCCCTATAAAGGTACTTTGGGGCCCATGTATCTCTATATGGGCACATGGACCCTTAGGGTTTGTTGTTTTAACCAGCCTTCTAGGTGGTGCTTTTAAAGCCTTTGAAAATATTAGTAAATAAGATCCTCTTAAACCCAATAAGGGAAAATATAAAATGTCCCAGAGCCCTACCTAGCCTTCTTGCTAATTTGCCGCCTTTTAGCTTGGTGTCTTATGGTTGGCATGGAATGCCCCCCCCCCCCCCCGAAGCCCAAATCCAAGAGCGTCAACCTTAACCCCCAAGACCTATACTTTAAACCATCTCTAAGCCATGAGAACACCAAAGACAAGGAACACAAGCAAACCCTGAAGCCCAAATCCAAGACCCTTAGCCTTAACCTCATACTCTAAGCCCTAACACCACCAAAAAGCAATCACGAACACATAAAGTGGCAAACAAAAACCATCAACACTCCGAACAACCAGACAAAACTAACACTACCAACCCTATAACACCTTGGAGCTTAAGCAGTTGACTCCTGCCTTTGATCATCTTCAGGGCTTTGAACTGCTCGGCTTCGCTCATCCTTTCAGGCAGTACAGCTTTTGCGGGGTCTATGGGTTCTTTGAGCGGCGTTTTAGGGCTAGTTCAGGGTTTGCAGGGTGAAAGTTCGAGGCTTCACAGTTTAGGGTTAAGGAAGGGTTCCTTGTCCTTTGAGGGGCGTTTGAGGGCTAGTTCAGGGTTTGCAGGGCAGGGTTAAAAGCTTAGGGTCCACGGTCTGAGGGTTCTTTGCGGGGTCTTCATGATCAAGGCCTGCAAATTACGGGTATTATTGGGGGCACTCCCGAGCAAACACAAACCAATGTATATACTATATGAGTACATGGACCCTTAGGGAAAGTCAAGAAACCCGCTGACCCACGGATAGAGCATCCTTAGCTCCGGCACGAGGCCTGGTCCTCAGCGCAGTGCAGAGCACACGAACGCCCTAAGCCGTGGCGAGGAGCGCGGAAACCTACTTCAACGGTTGATGATATAAAGCCTGCATCACCAATAATAAGGAATAGACTATATTCCCATAGTTTAGGGCCCTTAAGGTAATGCAGGATTTATATCATCAACCGAAGCAGCCCAGACAGGAGGCCAACCGAGGAAAAGCCACAAGAGTCTCAGCCATATCGGAGTGCGCACAGCAGCCAGAAGATCGAGGACCTTCTGATCGAGCGGCTGGTCCCTGTCCCTAAGGGTCCATGTACCCATCTAGAAATACATGGGCCCATAAGTACCTATATAGGGACTACATTAAGGCCAATGTATATACTATATGAGCACATGGACCCTTAGGGTGTAGGCCAGACCGAGCCTTTGGGCCTCGTTATGAGACCGTCCGGAGGTCTGTTGAAGCCAGGGCATTCCCACCATTCATGCTGCCTGGTGGCAGCAGAATTGTTGCAGAAAAGGCAAGAGCTACATCAATCGTCCTTCCTCATGACCGCAAACCTGGCCCAGGAAACAAACCATCTACGACAATGCGGTAGGCTACAAAATCCCCAAGCCGAACTCCAAATCTTCGTAGACCCCTATAAAACCCACAGAGCAACCCCCTAAACCCTAAACCGCCATTAAAGGAGCCCCTTTAAAGGAACCCTCGCCATCCTAGCACCTGAAAGCCTAGAGCTCCATGTACCCATATGGGAGTTTCCGAAAATTAGGGGTACCTTATTTGGGGGTCCTTGTAATAAGGATCCTACTATTTAGGGTACTATATTAGGGTCCCCTATTTTCGGAAACTCCCATATGGTATATACTTAAGCCTTAAAGTACCTATAGGTACCCCTTTACCTGTGGCCCAAAAGACCTACCTTTTAATAAAGATCTATATATAGAAACCATAATAAGGAACCCTAAAACGGTAGGTCTTTTCGGCTACAGGTACGGTTTAAGTATCTACTATAATGGTACATGGAGCCTTTGGGAAAGCCCCCGAGTGCGAACCCATCGAGTGCCCGGCGCATCAAGCTGCTCGAAGAAGCCTGCGGGATCCTTCGCAGTCATGCAAGCTGAATTAGGGCTTAGGGTTTAAGGGGTTTAGGGGTTAGGGGCTTCGGGTTTAGGGCTTTAAGGGCTATTAAGGGGTTTAAGGGCTTAGGGTTTAAGGGGTTTAGGGGTTAGGGGCTTCGGGTTTAGGGCTTTAAGGGCTTCAAGGAGATAAAGGGCTTAGGGTTAAGGGGTTTAGGGGTTAGGGGCTTCGGGTTTAGGGCTTTAAGGGCTTCAAGGGGATAAAGGGCTTAGGGTTAAGGGGTTTAGGGTTAGGGGCTTCGGGTTTAGGGCTTTAAGGACTTTAAGGGGTTTAAGGGCTTAGGGTTTAGGGGTTTAGGGGCTTCGGGTTTAGGGCTTTAACGGCTTTAAGGGCTTTAAGGGGCTTAAGGGTTTAGGGTTAGGGGCTTCGGGTTTAGGGCTTTAAGAGCTTTAAGGGCTTTAAGGGTTTAAGGGGTTTGAGGGGTTTAGGGTTGAGAGGGGGTTCCGGCGGCGGCACAGAGTCGCCGCTTCAGGCTGGCCTGTGACCTCCTTTCCCAAACCCGTAAAGGGTTGAGAGGGGGGAACCCTGAACCCTAAACTCATAGGGACCCTTGGGGGAGGGGGGCAGGGTCATTATACTTCCTTAACAAGGCCTCATAAGGTCCTTATTATTGGCATTAAGGCCGACTACCCCCCCTGCCCCTTACAGGGAACTCCAGAAAGTTGGACTGACAAAGTAGACACGGCAAACTTCTAGGACTTCTTGTCCGGCCCGGCGAGCTTCGGGATCGGCAGGCTTAGGGCTCAGATATGTTTTACCTCCTCCGAGTTATGTAGGGCTTAGGGCTCCCCTGGTTGCCTGAAGCCCTGACGCACCCTGATTTCTGCATGCATTGTGAAGGACACATGCTGATAACTTACTAGCAGTGCAAGCAACAATAACCTTTTCATTGTTGAATGCTGGCAGCCCTACATTAGTGCCTGTTGCTATGCATCTTTACAACCCAGAGCCTCCAAAACCCCTTAATTCAGGAATATACCTTAAATTATAATGGGGATCTTGTTATAATTTAAGGTATATTCCTTAATTAAGGGATTTTGGAGGCTCTGGGAAAGACTGGTCATTGATTTTCTTGTCGGGGTCGAGCCCTAAAGGCTGAAAAAGCTACGTGGCACCGTGAAACTAAGCCCCCAACCCGAAACCTCAAACCTGCCGCAACACGCGACTCTAAACACCGAAGGCCTGGTTTCACTGGAAAACTAGACCCCACACTTTAATCCTAAACCATCAACATCACATTATCTTATAATCCCTGAACCCCGCAAAAATCTACTTGGCCTTCAGAGGACTTGTCTAAGGCAGTAGTGGCAAAGCGCCACAAGAGATAGGCGCAGTGGAGTTCTGCTCATGAGCACGGTTCCTTGCGGAAGGACTCGTACTGCTGCGGTGCGAACTCCATGTAGTCCGAGAAGTAGGCCTTTCCACAGCCAGCTAGTTCTTTTTGTAAAGTGTGTTGAACCTTTACGTGGACCCCCAAAGTATGTAGAATAATAGCCTTTTATAAGTTTCGGGCCAATATTTAAGTTTAAGGTTTAGGGTTGAGCCTTTCCACAGCCGGCTAGGGTTTAAGGTTTAGGGTTTAGGCAGGCCTTTCCACAGCCAAGGCTTAATATAGGGGCCTTCATCATTGAACTTGGGTTTCGGGGTTTAGTATACTATAATATAAAAAGGAACCCCCCAAAACATCATAAGTAATTATTGAAGCCCCTCTATGAGGCTTAAGTTCTTTGCTGTTCAGGGTGCAGAAGTCGTGCTGGAGGGCAGCTTCAGGGAATAGCACGTCAGTTGTACGCTTCTTTGTATTTTTACTTTTGCCCTAGCCATAAGCTTGACGCCCCATTACACCCCATGCCCTAAAGCAAACAGCAAAAAAGCCACCGTCAAGTTGCTTTCTTGGGATTTGTGCTTCTGTGGCTGCGGCCTGGGACTCTCCTAGCCTTGGGTGGCAGCTGCGATCTGCCGTGTGTACAGGAGCATATACATAAGCACATGCACACACACACACACACTCACACACACACTCACACACACACACACACACACATGCAGCCTGTATATGTATGCAATAATGCATGCGGCTCTGTGTATATTTTCATGTGCATATGTACGCTTAACCAAAGGACCCTGAAATCAAACCACGCAGAGCCTGCTTCGCGAACTCGATGCAGTGCAGAGGCCTGCAGCAGCCCAAAAGTGTCGTCTAGGTTTGGGACTTTACTTAAATGTGGGTCTAATAGGAAAAGGTTGTGGCACTACGGGTGGGAATATCCATCGCGGTTAACTAGTGCCCGAGGAAGGAGCCGAGGCTCAGGCAAGAAAGGGAAACTTCTCAAGGTGCACATGGCAATCTGCGTCTCGTTCGCATCGGTCTCCACGCCGTCGTTGTAACCTGCCACGCATCTTCATTGCTGCACGATCCGAGTCCCAAAGCATGAAACAAAGCAACCCGATGTAAACCCTCCAAATCCTAAACTGCACACCTCATACAACTGCTGAAACCTGTGGCCTAAGTGAAGCCCACGCCATACAGCCAAAAGCAAGTCTCGATCGAAACAACACCAATTCAGTTTACACCAAACCCGGGATCCTAAAAAAACGAACTAGTAACAGTCACAAGGCTTATAGTACTTGGAAGGGCTCCTTGCGCTTGATGTTTGCGTGGTCTAGATTTCTCAATCCGCGACGTTGCAGGTTTTACCAGGTGTCTGTGCATCTCGGAGTGCTGGTTACACTCAAATTCTCTGGGCCTGGGTGGCTGCTGCGCTTGCTGGGCATTTCACTGTAAAGCACGCATGCTGAGCTGCAGGCTTTTCGTGAGGCCCGGCAGGAAAACGTCGCTGTTACACCTGGCTCTGCTGTTCAGGGCTTGGAATGTAGAGCCTCACAATGCAACCTGCACTTCCTGTAAATCATACTGTTTCCCCTCAGCATGCGAGCTTCAGTCTTAAGTGGCAGGTCCTCGGCTGAAACGCAGTAAAGCCTACAAGCAGAAAGTCAGAGCTGAGGCGGAAGCTTGGTCCCTAGCGTGCCGGACCTCTGTGCGTAGCGCTCTTGGGATTTGGAAGACTCAGAGGCGATAGGGTTCTTGTCGGAGGGGTCTTTTGGGTTTAGGTTTAAAGTTTAGTTTAGCGTTTTGGGGTTATAGGATGTTATAGGGTTTAGAAGTTTAGGGTTAAAGGGGGCTTGGGATTCTCGAGTTTGGGGGTGAAAGTCTCCATTGTAGTTCTTTTTTTTTGGAGGGGGAGGAGGGGGGGGGGGGTAGCTCATGGGGTCGTGAGTAAAAGATGGGTTAAATCAAGAAAAGGAGCCACAATGGAGACAACAGGTAGCTTTAGAAGAGTTTAGAGTCTGGGGTTTAGAGCTTGCCTATGGCTGGCAAACCAGAATAATCGGTAATGACCAACCAATAAATATCACGCCTCAATCCCTAGAACAACAAGATTTCCCAGGTATACTTGGGTGTAGAGGGTGTGATTTCCGGGTCGGGGTTCAGGTAAGCTGTTGGATTTTTTTAATAAGTGTCAGGGCTCTTGGGTGTCTTATGAGATGTGGGTGTTACCCGAACCCTTTTAAAGGAACCCTACATGAACCCCCAAGGAATCCTTGCAGGAACGATTATGGGTCTCCCAGGTTTGAGGCTTGGGGTTTGGAATGGTGTGTTGGAATTTCGGGGCCCCCTACCGACACTCTGTCTCTGATACCCCTAAGTCGAGGTGTGCACCCCGGAGTTGTAAAGCTTCGGGTAGATGGGCTTAGATAACCGCATCCCCTAAACCCTACAGCATAAACCCTAAGCATGCCCAACCCTTCACCCATAAACTCGACCGCTGAGATCTCTGCAAAACGCGAGCTACAGCATCTTATTCATCCTGGCCTGTACACAAACTCCCCGAGCACAAATCGTTAGAACCCTATGCCCTAAGCCCTAAACCCTAAACCGTCCTAAATCCTAAACCCTAAACCGTGGCCCTAAACTTCTTAACGCGACACCCGGAACCTTCACCCCAGCCCTAGCATCCTCAGCACTGGGGGTCCTAGTGAACACGAAATCCTGAATCTTAAACCCTTAAACCTCAACCCACACTCTTTTGACCCGAAAAGACGTCCCCTGGGCCCGCTGCTCCAGAAGAGGGAGACCTTGGGATACGAATCAAACTCATGTGAAGTGAATTGCCTTAAGGGTGGGCTTCCTTAAAGGGCTCTATATTTGGGATCTATAGTAGGATTCTGTTGGTTTCCTTAAAGGGCTCTGTAAGGGATCTATAGTAGGATTCTACCATGTATCCCAAAGGGTCCATGTACCCAAATAGTATATACTTTGGCCCCAAGGTACCTATATAGGAAGTACTTTAAGGCCAAAGTTCAGAGTAGTTGGGTACATGTAGCCTTAGGGTTGGTTCTCCGTAGTTTTTCCACGGTGGCACGCAATCTCGGCACACCAGCTTTTCTTAGCAGCCCTGTGTAGCAGCTACACTCACCAGGAGTCCCCAATAGAATTAAAAGTGTTATTTCATGTGGCTTCCCGTTCCGATGTAGTCCCTTGTGCTTTGAAACTCCTATGCGAAGCTCTAGGCTTTGTGCAGTTTAGGGTTTAGGGATTAGGGTTTAGGGTTTAGGTGGTTCAGGCTTTAGGGTCTTCGTACATTATTAGGTTGCTGAAGCTTGTCAAGGGCATGTGCAGATAAGGGCGCCCGCGGACTCCGGGCTCCACTGAGCAATGCACATCATCGGCACAAAGCAGCTAGCAAATGAAAGTTTCAAAGACGAGCTCTTAGAGAGTGAGATCCTAAGAGTTTAACACGGTAAAGCTTTACACTAAGGAGCCCTCTGACCGAACCACTAAACCCTTGACTCTCTGGGCCTTCGATTAAAGCCACTAACACCCCCGGAATCCGCAAACCCAATGCCGTAACCACAAAAAAAGGGGTCGAGACCTTTGTGACCTTTGCACAGGCCCTGAGAGCCCTTAAGCCTGAACTGTTAATAACCCTACATACAAATAGGCTTCAAGGTCGTTCCGGCTTAGGGTTTAGGGTCTATCCTGGTCCGACGACGCCTGCAGCGCGAAACCTTTCACTGCGAACGGTCAACAGCTACGTTCCTGTACAGTCTTAACGAGCTTGTTCTCACGTTGGCTTCTGAGGGCCAAGCCATACCAAAGGCAGCATTTGTCAGTGTACCTTCGGTTCCAAAGCTTGGAGACCAACACGAAACAAAGAGAGAGAGAGAGAGAGAGACCATAAACCCTAAACCCTAAAGAGAAGAACCCACAAGATTCCCAGAAACGGCTTGCTCAGAGGTAATGTGGGTAACTCTTCAGGCTTCGATTCTAATCATCGGGCAGGGTTTGGGACTTAATGGGATGCGCTTTCAGACGGCGTCTGCGGTTTATTATAGCGATGCATAAGGCTCAATTAGGGCCTCTGCCGTGAGTATGCTTTGGGAACCTCCATGGCCAAGCAGCTGGAAGCCGAAATGGCTCCTAAGGCTCCAACCATAAGTTTATAGGTATTTCGGTTTAGGCCTACATTTCTAGGGATCTATGAGTTAGGGTCAGGATTTTGTGACATGCGAGGTTCAGAGAACCCTTGAGACGAGGTGCGGCACAGAGCCGCCATAGGCAACCATCACGACATTCAGCGCTGCAAACACAACAAGATCTGGCCGTTTAGCAAAGGCCAGCACATAGATGAGGAACGCAAACTATATTGGAGCATGGGTGCAAGTACGATCAGTTTTTGGCTCCTTCAATCGGACACAGCTGACCCTGAAAACGGCGATACTGCCTTATGCGGTCAAGCGCTTCTCCCATCCCAGCCCGACACATGACATGGCATACAGACCCTTAAGGTAAGACGATCTCTGGTTGATGATCTGCCTAAGCCACGCAGAGGGCCTAAGCACCAAAGCCCGACTGATCTTCAATGGTGGGTTCGCACTTGCGGGCAACGACGTTGTCCAGGGCATTCCAGCACAGGTCCTGCGAGTCAGTAAGGCACACGTACGATTTCCAAGTCAGAGTCGGGGTAAGTGTCTGTTCTTGCATGTTGTCTCACAGGAATAGTGGGCAGGTTCGATGGTGATTGCAGCCTGTTCGCGTGAGATCCTGCCTTCTGAGTGATCATCGGGCGCTACCTAATAAAACCTCCTTGAAGATTTATGACATGACGAAGCGTTGCAAGAATTGCAGTATAGTCGTTCAAGACCATTTCTGTCAGCGCTGCTAACCGTTGCTGTCACGTGAGTCCATCCAGAGTGTTATAACTATCTCGACTGCTGTGACTATTGGAACTCTTGAACAAAGAGACTATGTCACCCCTAATAGCTCCTTAAGGGTCCGCATCCCAGAGTAAGCATACAATGCCAGTGTTGAACTACAACTGTTCGGGTCTCGGGCTGAAGTCTGGGGGCGTTACTTTCCCAGAGGGTCCATGTACCCATATGGTATATACTTTGGACCCAATGTACGCATATAGGGAGTACTTTAAGGCCAATGTATATACTATTTAGGTACATGGGCCCTTAGGGTTTGTGGCTGAACTTCATCTCACTGTCAACACTGCATGGCCAAGACCTCCACGTTCGGACAGGCTGCGCTCCTATTGGATGACTGCAAACCTCAGCTCTTCCACCGGTTTGCCAGACCAAGGGCTCCAAACATGTGATGCTGCCTTCAGCTAGCCCTAAGGCTCCATGTACTCATATAGTATATACATTGGCCTTAATGTAGTCCCTATATAGGTACATTGGGGCCCATGTATCTCTATATGGGTACATGGACCCTTAGGCTAGGGAATTGAAGATGGAGATTTAGAATCCAAGCGGGGGTCTTCAATTTCCGATGCCACGTAATCGACCCAGCCTTCAGGCTCGCAAAGCAATTCTGCCTCAACCCTATACCTTAACCTACCCAAACCTACATTTCTGTAGGGTCCCTATCAATTCCATAGTAGGGTTTATAATAAGAACCTACAAAAAACTAGGGTTTGGGGGTTTAAGGGAAGTCCTAAACCAAACCCACAAACCCTAAACCCTTCAAGCTAAACCCAAAATTACACGCTACACACTAAAATTTCAACACAAGCCCCCAAACCCTAACCCACAGCCGAAACCCTAAATTACACCCTCCACCCTAAACTGCAAACCCCTAAACCGTAAGGGCACCCAGTCCAGGGATGTCCAGAACGTGTCATCGAAGAAGTCCTGTTCAGGGGCTTCCATACCAGAACCCCCCAAGTGCCCTTGAATAGAGCCCCGAAGGTCCTGAACAATCAGTCTTTTGGGGTCATGTAGGGGCCTTTATGGGCCCATTATACTATTAAAGTATAATAAGGAGCCCGCAAAATAGTCTTGCTAGTTATTTTCTAGTAGTAATAACAATAGTAATAATAGCAACACTAATAATATAGTAATAGTAACACTAATAATTGTAATAGTAATAATAATATTATTTACGCCCCTTTCGTAGAGGGGCTTCCGGGTCTATAGTCGGACTGGGGCATTCGGGCTTCGGAGGCTTAGCCCAAAGGCTCCATGTACCTTTATAGTAGATACTTAGGCCTTTAAGGGTTCCCTATATAGGTACTTCAAGGCCTCAGTAGATACTATAATAAAGGGGTCCCGATGTAGGTACTTTAAGGCCTCAGTATATACTATAATAAAGGTACATGGAGCCTTAGGGTAGGGTTTAGGGATGTTGGTTCGCAGATTTTTGCGCAGGCGCTAAGAGGGACCAGAGGCCCCAAGGCGCAAAACCCTCCCAAGGGCCTCCGAGGTCACCCCGACACCCTTTTCCAGCGCTTCGATCTGCAAGTCAGGATTCCACCCTGGCCAGAAGGGTGTACAGAGACTACCTGTAGCATTGATGGTGGGGTTTTAGTAAGGCCTCATAGGGTTCTGTGTTGGCCATTGTGTTTGTTTAGGGCTTCTCTTTCGGGATGTAAATGGGTGCTGCACATATTATGCTTACAAGATTACAAGGCTGGGTTGGTGAAACCTAAAACCCTAAACCGGAGCTTGTTTATAGACTTGTAGGCTATGGTTTTAGCATCGGCATGCTCGGAAGGAAGCCACGGCGCATCGGTTTTCGGAAGCCTTAACCCCTAAACCCTAAACCCTAACCCCTAAACCCTAAACCTTTTTAGCTGGGTTGTGCCCACTTGCCCTGCTGACACCGGCATCTCAGGAACTTTTAGAGGTTTAGGGGTTAGGGTTTGTAGGGTTTGGGGTTTAGGGTTTAGGGTTGGGAGTTGGGGCTTTGGGAGTTCAAGAGGGATTCAAGATTTCGGGTTTTGGGCCTGGGGGGGGTGTAAGGTGTAGCGTTTGTTTAAACTTGCAGGTCAAAGTGCAGAAAGCTGACTTCGCAAGTAGGAGCGAAGACAAAACACCCGAGCATAGACTATCGACGGGAAATATGAGAGATCGGAATTTAAATATGTCGCGTCTCTGTGCGATTTTGGTCTCCTAATCAAAAAATAAAAATATAAACCTTAAGGGCTGAATCCTCCTTGCGAATCCTCCCTGGCGCTCCTCCTATGGATCCAAGTCCTTTGGGTTTACGTTCAAAAGCTTAAGGGCCTGTTTGGGATGTAAAGGGCCAGCGTACATCATCATCCCCACCGAACCCCAAATCCTAGACTTGTAATCCCGAAACCCCTAAACCCCACTGCCTTATAGTAGAAGCCAGAATGTTGGAACATCATTGGCCTCATGCCCTTAGAGTAAAGTATAGGGAATCCAAGCAAGAATCATCCTAATTCTATGCTCCAACTTTCTAGGATCTGATGTAGTCCTCGTAGTACTCATATTAGTCCCGAAATGGGAGTTTCCGAAAACAACGGATCCTAATACATTATTATAAGGACCCCAAAATCAGGTACCCTTAATTTTCGGAAACTCCCAAATCCCATATTCCCCAAAGTAGTTCCTTTTTGGGATTGCCTTATAGGCTTCTCAATATGTACCCCCCCCAAAAGGAACTACTTTGGGGCCTTAGGGTACTCCCTAAATCCCGAAGCCCTCGCAAAGACCCGAAGCCCCTGAGTCCCTCTCGGGGGTCGGCCTTTAACGACGCGGGCAGCCGAGGTGCTTTTGGGATTCCTGGACATGGTTCCCCCTGGAGAACCTAAAGGAATGTGCCTTAAAGCACACTATGAAGCTGGTTAACTGTGATGTAGAATAACAAAATAGACCATAAAGCTCATTACAACGATGGTTGCAACTGCTGCGGTGAGATGAACTTGTTGATGATGGTGATGATAGCGATGACAACAAAGCTGCAGTTTGTTGCTGACATTGAGATGAATGTAAAAACCTAATATCTGCTCATGGTGAGGACGGCGGTGACAAGACTTTACTCTATCCTTGCCGTGAAAAAATTCTTTCAAAGTACGACGAAAAACAACAATGCGACGCATAGGTCTCTGCATTGTCTTCACACTGCGTGCAGCTAAAGGAATGGCCATCAGAGTGTCTTGCAGAGTTCAAGGCTCTACCTCTGCTTGGGAGGTTCATGGATAGTTCTAAGTAGGATTATGGTCACCTAGTATGGGCTGCAACTATAGTCATCCTACTTATTACTACCTATGAACCTCTAAGTGGCGCTGATCAAAGCTTGCAGGCTTCCCGAGTCGTATGCTTAGGGTTTCTGGGCCTGTCACGCAGGGAAGTTCAGGATGTAGGCCACAGGGTCCAAGTACCAATATGGTAGCTGCTTAACGGAAATTTGGGCGCCAAAACTATCTATATATTGCTTGAACCCTGTGAGTGGTTCACATGATTCAGGGCTTAGGGTTTAGAAGCGAAAAAGATGGCAGCTTCGGCTTTAGGGCTTAAGGGGCGTAGACCAGAGGTCTCCAGTATGGCTGCTGGAATCTGCTAGGTTGTCAATTTGCGCTAGATAACTGAAGCTTGTGCCGAAGACCGGGCTTGATCAGCTGACAAGTCTTCGAGGAAGCCATTTGAACCTCTAGGTTTGGGATTAGATTGCTGCATATTGCTGCATAGGACACAAGAAGTCTGATAATGCAGAATTCAGGCTCCGTACTGTAATTATGTTGAAAAGCACGCACACACACACACACACACACCCTTAATAAAACACACACACACACACACAAACACATATTGAGTATGAAGACCACCAATCCTGCTAGCAGCCGCCCCCCGAACCATTCGGTTTTGTTGTTAGGGTCGAAGAAGCCTCCTGAATTAGGTCCTGGACAGTGAACCCGAAGCCGTCTAAGCATCCCGAAGCCGTGAAGTTTCTGTGTATCGGGCCCAACATCAGATTGCCGGAAGAGGAACTGCCGGCTGAGGTTCGAAACCTGTGGTTGAAGCTTGAATCGGGGACATTCGGACTCAAAGCCCTACTGGCAGGGTTCAGGCTCATATGCTTTCAATGCTTTCACTGGGTTAATTCGGGGCAAATGATTCGGGATCTTGTTGGTGTAGGATATCCGAGTCAGGGTTTAGTTAGGCCTTAAGATTATAAATGATTTAAGGCGGGAGTGCGGGTAGTCCGATCGCTACGAACAAATCGTGCTACTTCGAAGACTGCGGGACACAACACCTGCATGCTCCTTGCCTTACCAGCTGACTGCGTGCGCCATGGTGCTGAACCAGGGTATGGCTGCTGCTGTACATACGAAGTGTTTGGCGAAGATCAGTGCTGTTCTCCTGCCTGCTGAAAATCTGGCTGTGGCACGGTGAGAAGGAGAAGGGTTGTGCTCTGTTGCCACTTCATCGAAAATGACTGCAAACACTCCTTGAGTGCATCACGGAAGTCCCCGTCTCTCCCTCTCCTGCCCCTGAAACAAACAAACTCGGAACATAGACGAATCTGGAAGAACAGCTCGCATAAGCATAGTCGGCCTCAATGCGGTCCATGTCCGTGACGATCAGTTTGCCGTCTGCACCACTACAAGCACCTGCGAGGGCTTCTCAGGAGGAGAACGCACTGGACATGCTCTCTGCCTATCTATCTCTCAATCTATCTATCTATCCATCCATCTATCTATCTGTAAAAACTATGTATGTATGGATGTAAGTTTTATGTGCATATATACATATGATGGATGCCAGCTGCGGTCGCTATCGCGGTCGTTTCGGCCATCGTTGTCGAAATGATGTTGGCTATCATCGTGGCCGACGCGGAAGCGGGTGGGTGCGGTAGCAGCAACAAGGCAGCAACAATGGCAGCAAAAGCAACTTCGGCATCTTGGTTTCAGAGCAACACTCCCATATGCAGGTGTGAGCGCCGAAGCCCTGCACTGCCTGACAGCCGCAATTTCCTACACACAATCCACCCGAAACCGTGCAGCCTACGCCCCTCAACAGACACCGAACAAGGAAGCTGTACCGGAAGTACGTGTCCTTCGAGCAGAACTTGTTCTCAAACCAGAAACAAGGTTTCGGCCCCTAAATCATAAATCCTGAACTCGGAATCCTTTCGTGAAAGCTCGCATACCCTGGCGAAAGATGACATCTCGTGCAACTGCCATAAAATCGAGGCGCCCATCAGCGCCAGCCCCTTCAAGTACTCGCAGCCAAGTGCTCCACAGCCCACCAGGAAGACCTGACATCAAAACATGAGAAGGGGTTGACATAAAATTTGGTGCTTCAGGGTAATAGGCGTTACAGGGTTTGGGGGTTCAGGGTTTAAGGCTTTAGGGTTTTAAGGTTTTGGGTTATGTATAATGCCTAAAGGGTTTGGGGGCATAGTGACCCAAAGTTTGGCTTGATGGCCTGAGGTTGAAAGATCTTCGTCTGAGTGAAGTGACCCCACATTTCAATTCGAACCCCATAAAAGCCCTAGAGAGCCCTATAAAGCCTGCAGAGCTCTAAAACCCTCAACCCCCTGAAGAGCCCAGGAAGGCTTACCCATAGGCCCCAAAGCAGTTCCTTTTTGGGATTACCTAATAGGATTCTGAATATGGACCCCAAACAGGAACTACTTTAGGGCCTTTGGGTATACGGTTGCTGCTCAGAGCTCCGGGCACGCTGCTTCTTGATGGACTCCATGAAATTGCTGCCGAGGACCTCGGGGTGTAAGCTCGCAGGGTGTGCTGTACGGTGGATGATATAAACCCTGCATTACCTTAAGGACCCTAAACTATCGGAATTATGGTATATTCGTTGTCATGGGTCGTGCAGGATTTATATCATCAACCGTAGTGTGGGGTTTACATTTAAGGTTGGGGGTTTCAGTGTTTACGGGTCTGTGGTTTGAATCTAGAGTTGGGGTTCTCGAGGACCCTAGACCGTGTGAGATTCTTAAATGTATCCTTAGAAAGATATGATTTTCTAGGGTGAACACCCCTCGAGATCCCATCCTCCGACAACCCCTCGTCGCGTGCACCTCAAGAACCCTCAGGGACCCTGTACCTTCAAAGTGTGCCTTTAAGGGTTTTTCAGGGTCCATTTACCTGACTAGTATATTCTTTGGCCTTAAACTCGTCACCATGCAGGTACTTTGGGGCCAAAGTTTGTACTGCTTGGGTACATGGACTCTTAGGGTAAAAATGTGAGTTTCCGAAAAGAAGGGACCCTAATAGAGTACCCTCAATAGTGGGATCCTTATTATAAGGACCCCGAAATAAGGTATCCCAAAATTTCGGAAACTCTAAACCCTAAACCCATCACAGAACCCTTATAGATCCCTTTAAGGACCCCTTATAGATCCCTTATTATAAGGTATCCCTAAATTTCGGAAACTCCCAAATGGCGGGCCTCCAACCAGGGTGCAAAGCTTTTTGGCAGCCCTCAGGTCTCTTAACCCTAAACTTAGGGTTTAGGGTTTAGGGTTTAGGGGTTTAGGGTTTAGGGTTTAGGGTTTAGGGGTTTAGGGGTTTAGGGGTTTAGGGGTTTAGGGGTTTAGGGTTTAGGGGTTTAGGGGTTTAGGGGTTTAGGGGTTTAGGGTTTAGGGTTTAGGGGTTTAGGGTTTAGGGTTTAGGGTTTAGGGTCCTTAACCCTGAAGGACCTACCTTTCTAAGGACTTATGTAAGGAAATCAAAGGAAGGAACCCTAAAAAGGTAGGTTATTCAGGGCTAAGGTAGAGTATCCTACCTGCAGTCTCCATTGTAGTTCCTTTTTGGGGGTTACCTTATAGGATCCTTAATATATAATTGGTTAGACCAAACAAAGGAACTACAATGGAGACTATAGGTAAACTTTAGAGTTTAGGGTTTCGGGTTTAGGGTTAGGTTTTGAGGTTTAGGGCTTGTGAGGGCCTTTAAGCCGTAGAAGAGCCTAGAATATGTTCTGAAATCAGAATGGCACCGGAGCAAAAAGGACGCACTTCAGGCCGGGACAGCAGCTTGGTGAGCATAGCGTGTCCTGGTTTTGAAGCGAGGTTTGTGTCATGAGTTCGGCTTTAGAGTCTTAGGGTTCAGGAATAACGAACTATAGACTGTAGGTGACTCGGGATCTTGCAAGTTTTGAATTGTATCATATGTCGAACCGTGTAGTATAAAAAAAGACATAGTAGTAGGGCCCGCGACGTCCATCCTTTACGCAGTCTACTTTCGCCTCGGCACCTTGCACCAACAAGGTTCCGAACTTTTCCGCAGGACGTAGGCCGAACAATTCTAGCATTTCCTGCAGCATCCGGTGAACAGCTCAAAAGACCTGTTCCAGCATTTCAGCGAAGCTAAAATCCAGAACCGCATCCGAATCCCGACAAGACACTACCAAGCTGTCCTGGGCGTCTTGACAATTGCAGCAGTCTATACGATTCTGTGCATAAACGCTGGATGAAAACCAACGGAAACCATTACCTCAAACCCAAATAAATGGCCAATCCGAACCTCTCAACCTTACTCCGAAGGAAACATCCCCTGAACAATATACCCTAATTGAGCCCTATCGCGTTCTATTAAATCCGTAACGACCTTTAACCCAAATCCTCGGAAGACTCTGTGAACCTCCTTGTAAAACCCAAACCCCTAGACCGCTAAGCCCGAAGCCTAAACTCTAAAACCCTAAAACTCCTAAACCCTAAATCCTCAGATCCCTTTAAAGGATCCCTAAACCCTAAATCCTTAGATCCCTTTAAAGGATCCCTTGTAAGGAGCCCCAAAGTTTCTGGGTCAGTGGCCCAGCATAGTCCCCGGCGCCCGAGCTCGACTGAACGAGACTGGCATCATCCTCGTGTCTTTCTCGGCTCCCCGATGTCATATGCGGGCCATAATGACTAGACCCAAGAGTAACCCAGGCATAAAAAGGATGCCCTTTTTGGTTTAAAGGGGTTTATAAGGGAACCTGAACCCTAAAAAAGGGAATAAGGGCCTACTCTAGGTCCTAGATGACCACAAGAAGGTCTTGGGGTATATGATAGTAAAAGTGTACACGGACTCGAAGGTTTGTTCCGAACCCCATATGTCCTTCACTGATCAGGATACCCTTTTTCCTGTAGGGCTTATTTAGGGTAGACTACTAAGCACCTAGCTCTTGAAATTTCGATAGATTAGGACTTGCGGCTCTGGGGTTAGAGGCTTGCGATAGGGGCCTTCACAATTAGAAGGGGGTTTGGGGGCATATTCTGCCATGTTGCAATAGGAGCCATAGGGAATAGTATAAACAGTTATCTCGACCCCTAAACAAGGGTTTGTGATTCGGGAGTCGGGGTTGGGGTCTGGGAGAGGCTGCACCAGACTAAGGCTTGGCGTGCAGGGTAGCAGTTACCGTTTCGGTTTCGGGTTTGGGGCTCGGGAGTCGTGGCTTTAAGGGCTTGATGGTCCGGGTGCAGAAGGTTTGAGACATTTCTGACTTTACCCAAAGGGTCCAAGGACCATTGTAGTAGGTATACCTACTATACTTAGTACCCCAAAGTAAGTACTAGACAGCTACTTGGGCCCTTTGGGTTGGGGGAAGTTTAGCATAATGGCATTTCGGCCACCCGGGATTAAAGTTTCAGGGTTTAGTGTCCGGCAGTCGTGGCTTAGGGACTTTCGGGAGTTCCGGGTAAGCCCTAAACCCTAAACCCTAAACCGTGGCTTCTAAAACCTAAACCCCAAACCGTGGCTCCTAAACCCTAAACCCTAAAACTCTAAACCCCATCTCTGCGACCCAGGGTTAGGGCTTCAGGGTTTTGGGTACTTAAAGGATCATGGGGCTTAGTAAGTAGAGTTATTATCAGGGCTAGTATACGTATAACCCCAATTAGGGTACTTATAACCTTACTCACTAAGTGCCATGATCCTCCATTATAGAACCCAATTATAGATCCCTTTAAGGAACCCCATTATAGAACCCTATAGTACCCGTATTAAAAGGGGATCTTACTTACTAAGTCCCATGATCCTCCAAGTAGGCCGGTTGCTAAGCCCCCGGCATGGTGTATCCACTGCTCCACCGGAGTGAACCTTGGCTCTGGCCATGAAAATCACTGCGTGTAACTTAGTTGCTGAGTTCATACCTGGACCCCGCAAGTATGTAGAATAACAGCCTTTTAGGGCCATTATTCTACCTACTTTGCGGGGTCTAGGTAAGCCCCCAAAAGTGTAAAAAGTCTAAAGTGTATCCACTCAGCTACTAAGATAACACTCTTGCGTAGGTTAGTGTCGCTGTATGGATATTTCGGCTTATAGTTGGCGGTGATGATGAACTTCATCGAAAGGTAATCCAGATAACGGACTTGCAGGATTGAGAGATTCACGCATACATCTGTTGAAGAGGCCTGTTTGGTAGCCCGCTTCGTCAGAGCAATGCAAAACCTTGACTTGTAAAAGCTGGGCCGACCTCCGTCGATTGCTTTTCCCTCACATGCGTGACCAGGAGATCTCTGATGCATACTTCCTCAGACTTCCAGAAGAAGAGCATTTTCTTGAACCCTAGATCTTCAAACCCGATTCCTATTTGGAGGGTCATGGGTAGTTTGTAGGGTACAGTATGGTTAGAAGCCCCCTAACATGGGAGATATCTCTAATTTGTTGTACCCACCACAGCTCTCCCGGATTGAAGACCGTGGAAAGCCTTGAAGCGTGTGGATTGCCACCAGCTGCCAAAAAACTCCAAGGATACAAACAGCACCGACCCTGGCATATACCTCGGGGCTCCTTATGGTTATATATGTGGTAGAATATACAACAAAACGCTACTCATCCCTATTCTAATCATGAAGGCCGCCATATTCCTTGAGGCTAGCGTGAGCCCCAGATTAGGATGGCAAGCACTGCAAGCTTTAGGGTTTGTAGGGTATTCAAGGACGATCTTCTTACAGCTGCTCAGATTCCAGTCTTCTATCAGCTATACTCCAAAGGTAAGAGGAGGGACCCTTAATAAGGACCCCTAGGTATGTACCCATAACATAGCCATTATATACCCATTATATAGCCCATTATAGGGTAGGGGTCCCCATTAAGGGTCCCTCCTTTTCCCATTTGATCTACTGTTCCCTAGGTTCTCTCTCTTCACCATCAAGGCCCCTGTATCAGACCCGGCAAAAACAGCAGGGCACGTGACCCGAGAAATGACACAGTAATCACAACATGCACGCAAGCATGCAATAACCTGTTGCACGAAATGGATAAGGTGTCAGATCAATTCCGGCTGAGATTGAACAGATGCAGATGTTGCAATATTGCAATGAACACTCACAATACCATTACATTCGCAGATGGCGCACGCACGCATGGTCAGCTTTGGGCTTCGGCGTCCGAGCGCCTGAAGAATTGAGTCCTTACAGACGGTTGGTGATATAAATCCTGCATTACCTTAAGGACCCTAACCTATTGGAATTATGGTATATCCCTTATTATGGGTCATGCAGGATTTATATCATCAACCGAAGTATTAGAGACTAGGCAGACTAGGAGCCTAGGACCATGGTCGTACTAAATCCTGAATCTGAATCGCCATCATTAGAAGCCTAAACCCTCAACCCTATTGAACTCCCAAACCGTGATCGCCGTAGTTCTAATCCTAACCCTATAAACTTTACTATGACTTATACCCTAAACCCATAAATAAACTTGCACACCCTAGACGACCTTCTCAGTTCCACGCTTGCCAGTCTTCTTGATGACCTCCTGCGCCACGGCGCCACCCAGAAAGGCGCAAAGCCTGAGAGAGGCCGCCGGGCTTGGGGTTTACTTGGAGGTTCATGGGACTTAGTAAGTAAGGTTATAAGTACCCTAATTGGGGTTGTAAGTATAGTTACCCTAATAATAACTGAGGTTACTAGGTCCCATGATCCTTGAAGTAGAGGGGCTGTATGAGAGTGTTAAACTACTGTGTACTCACGTGCCCAACGCTTCCCAATAGCATTTAATTTGCATAAACGATCATCTTAAAGCCTACAGACTTGAAGGACGGCGGGGATGTTTGTTCTGCTTCGGGGCTCACCCACCTTTGCGGCCTAAACACCTGTTATGTACTTGGAGGATCATGAGACTTAGTAAGTAAGGTTATAAGTACCTTCATTGGGGTTATAAGTAGTTATAAGTATAGTTGCCCCAATTAAAACCCTAGTTACTACGTCCCATGCTCCTGTATGTAGTCGATCATGTGTGAAGCTGTTGTAATACATATGTCATAAGAGCACATATCGTGCACAGATCCATCTATGCATCCGTGTGTAGATCCATGCATCCATACATCAATCCATCCATAAATCCAGCCAGCCATCCGTCCATCCATCCATCCGTCCATGCATACATACATGCAAACATACAGACATCCATTCATCTGTACATACATAAATATATGCATATACGTTAGATTACATTACATTGCAATATATTACATTTCATGACATTACGTTACATTAAACCAGTTTCCATCAATGCAATAATACGTTGACGGAGTAACAAATACATACATACATACGTACGTACATACGTACATGCATACATACGTACATGCATACATACAGGCATGCATGCATGCATGCATGAAAGCATGTATACATACACACATGCATACATACATGCAGGCAGGAAGACATATCACATACATACATGCTTCCATGCAAACATGCATACACCGTTACTTACGGTACTTACATTACACATGTACATGATCATGGTATGCACATGTGCGTACGCACACGCACACCTGCGCACACACACACAGACACATTCGAGCATTCCGACATACATGCCTCTGTCCCCTATACCTTAACACCCAGACGCCATAGCGTTAAGCTATGGCTTGAACCGCTATATAAGCTTGCGCCAGTCGAACGCCAATGTGCGCTCTGTGTCCACTGGGTTGATATATAGGTTGACCCTCAATGATCGTTGACGGCTCTGGGATAAACCTGAAGGAACAGACTCGATACTAAAATGAAGTATCATTTTCAGGCTGTCCAAAAGAATGCATTCTATTCCAGCGTTGAAGTTGGAGTTCAGGCTTGAGGGTGTAGTTTAGAGCTTGGGAGAAAATCGTCACAGTTAAGGACGCTTAAGCAAAACTGATCTGCACAGGCGGCTCTGGGTTCGCATATATAAGCGAACCCAGCAATGACCGTTCGGTGATGCCATTGTACGGCCTCGACATAATGGCATGTAAAGTTTAAGTTTAAGAATTCGGCGCCCTGTGTCGCCCGGCTTTTCCATCCGCACCCTCGGCGTAAGCATGTCAGAACCACCGGTGGCCTCCGAACAGCGTCCAGCAAGTCTAGCCAAAACCCACGGTTTAGGGTTCAGGGTTCGGGGTTTAGGGGTTAGGTTTTACGTTTCGGGTTTAGGGTTTAGGTAACTGGGATGCTGGTCTAAGGTTTAGTGTTATAGGGGTATGTGTAAGGAGTTGTAGCAGTTTCCCGAGTTCTCGCTGACGCAAAGCTCTGAACCAAGAGAAGTCAAGGAATAACAAGAAAGGAAACATAATAATCCCTGAGGGTCCATGTACTCATATAGTATATACATTGGCCTTAATGTAGTCCCTATATAGGTACATTGGGGCCCATGTACCTCTAGATGGGTACATGGACCCTTAGGGAATTGCTTGGAGGGTCCTTGGCAACTCGAATCGGGTATTGGGGTATTGTAGATAAGAGATGACTTTAGGCTCCTAAGGAATGTTACACAGGGATGTTATTACTAGTTAATCCGACCTCGATACGCTATACTACCCTAAGGGTCCATGTACCCATGTAGAGATACATGGGCCTCAATGTACCTATATAGGGACTACACTAAGGCCAAGGTATATACTATATGAGTACATGGACCCTTATACCCTAAATCCCCATCGAACTCTTAAAGATCCCTTAAAGGAACCCTTGTGGTGCCCATAAAGGATCCCTTAACTATATGAATACTTAGGGCTAAGGAAGCCGTGCAGTGCGCTGCCCTCAGCAATCTCTGCTCAACGGTAGGACTTCTGGAAGCGAGCACGGGCAGATCGGCCACCGAACCTGCGGGGATGAACAAACATCATGGTTCAAGTAGTCGTTGCAGTAGTAGTAGTAGTAGTAGTAGTAGTAGTAGTAGTAGTAGTAGTAGTAGTAGTAGGAGTAGGAGTAGTAGTAGTAGTAGTGGTGGTGGTGGTGGTGGTGGTGGTGGTGGTGGTGGTGGTGGTGGTAGTGGTAGTAGGTGGTAGTAGGAGTAGTCGGAGTAGTAGTATAGTAGGAGTAGCAGTAGCAGCAGCAGGTGGCGGTAGCAGTAGCAGTGGCAGTGGCAGTGGTCGTAGTAGTAGTAGTACAGTAGTATAGTAGGGTACTTACTACTACTACTACTACTACTACTACTACTACTACTACTACTACTACTACTAAATACTACTACTACTACCTACTACTACTACTACTACTACTACTACTACTACTACTACTACTACTACTACTACTACTACTACTACTACTACTACTACTACTACTACTACTACTACTACTACTACTACTACTACTACTACTACTACTACTACTACTACTACTACTACTACTACTACTACTACTACTACTACTACTACTACTACTACTACCTACTACTACTACTACTACTACTACTACTACTACTACTACTACTACTACTACTACTACTACTACTACTCCTACTCCTACTCCTACTCTTACTACTACTACTACTACTACTACTACTACTACTACTACTACTACTACTACTACTACTACTACTACTACTACTACTACTACTACTAGTGGTGAAGAGTACGAGTGCAAGTGCGAGCAAACAACAGCTAGTAATGCTGGTCCAATCTGGATAGCAGTGGTAAGAATGCCCACGATGGTAATGCATGAGGGGTCGTTCTAAACAGAACCTGGCAATAGGCCCCAGTTGTCAACAACAGCCGAATCTTAGCAACGCAGTAGACATGGCTTCACGATAAACCATGGACAACCCAGTAAACAAAGCAATGCCCGCTGATACTCCGGCAATCACAGAAAACATACGTGCTCAGACTCGGGTCACTTCTCATGGCCTAGGGTTCAGGGTGGTATTTGTAATTTGTCCTCCCATGACAGGTCCCATGCAGTAGGTGTGAATAAGCGTGTATTCCAACTGTTACCCAAAGGCCCAACACGCCCCAAGCGAAGACTACAACGTGTTGCTGCAATATAGGGCAGTTTAACATGGTTGAAGTATCTGTATACCGCTTATACCCAGACGCTCCATAGTAGCTCGATTTTGTGGTTCAGATTTAGGAACCTATAAGGTAGTACCAAAAAGGAACTACAATGGAACCTATGGGTAATGACAACGGAGAGTTTGGAAGAGCCATGCAAGATTCTTTTCTCTCAGACTGCAGCGCGGTCTTCGTCTGCCCATGTTTTGCACCTTCGGAAGGACAAGGACTCACAACTCTGAGCCTGAAAAGCATGGGGGTTAAGGTTCAGGGTTTGGGGGTGTGCCTGAAAAAAAGGGCAGGAGCTTGAAATAGTCACCCAAATCCTAAACCCCATGCATACATACACACTTACGGCGCTTCGTACTTCGAGGTTCGCGAGTTTAAGACCTGGTCAAGGAGCCTACGAGACACTGGACGGCGTAGGCAAAGAGAGACCTTATAATGATCGAAAGTTTGCGTCTACTTCCATAAGGTCCGTGCACCTACACAGTATGGGTTCTTGGGCACGAAAGTACCTAAATAGGGAATACTTTATGAACCAGAGCGTGTGTTATATACGAATTGGGTACATGGGCCCTAAGGGGCTCTGACAAAAGGCTAGCCGCTGACCTCGGAAGGCGCGGGCGCCTGCGCATGCAAATGATCACCTTCATGCGCAGTCACCCCATGGGGGCTGAAATGCAGACAGATCACGAGGGTTGTCCTCATCTTCGGGGTTCTAATGGGTGCAAAGTTTAGATTATAGAGTCAAAGCTAAGTTTAGGGTTTAGGGCCTAGGGTCTCTCCTGTAGGGTTTCAGGTTTAGGGATGACATTACACGGTGAGCTCCGTCCTTCGTTTCAGTCCTCTTCGACACTTCACTCGGCTCGATTATTATAACTCCACATGTGATGATGAATCTCGAATGCGAAAAGCGAAATCGGGCAATCCTCGCAGGAAGCTGGCTTCAAGGAATGAACAGACACTCTTTTTGACACGCATGCCGGCTGCTTCTGCCGGCGCGTGCCAACATGAGGGCTTCGGGACGGGTAGAAGCCTACCGAACTCAACAGGTTGGGGTTGGGTTCTCTTAATTTGTGCGATAAGTTTACAATTCCTTCAGATTGAAAACAATCTTAATTAGGGTTAAGACAGTTCAGGGTTCAGGGGTTTGGAGCCTATTTAGGTTTGACACTGCCACTGGTAGCCCATCTAGGCAAGCCCTCTGGCCCGAAAAAAAGGGACGACATATGTCTTCGTGCCACGGAGGGCCATGCAATGCGTCGATTTACGCAAATGGAATTCCTGTACGCAGGGCCTCGGAAGAATTGGTATTGCGATCTTAGCCCGCCCTTGAAGGTGAAGGAGTCGCCAGTGCCGTCGGCGAGGCGTATGGAACAGCTCTTTTAAATCAGGGTCTAGGGTGATCAGGTTTGGGGTTTAGGGTTAATCCGATCATAACGTCTCATCAGGGTATGACGACCATGAACACTAGGCAATCAAAAAGCGAATGGAGTCCATTCCGCACAGAAGTCCTCAGCCTCAAAAGCTCAAACCTGAAACCTCCAAGCTGCGGCGCTGAATTCAACATAACATGATACAACATAAAAGTAGGCTATTTTCATATATGTATATATATATATATATACATGCACACACACACACTTACACTTATGGGTATCAGATAGTATCATTTACAATGTACCTGCTACACAAGATCATCTCATATAATCTACCAGTAGATATAACTATAATAAGTTGCATGGGTTCGGGCCTTTAAGCTGCAAAGACAGTAATTATGTATGAGATTCCAACCCAAGCTCGTGCCTTTTCTGCCTTGGCACTCCCTCATCTGGGAAGGTTGCGCATGCCACTGGTGGGCATCGAGGGCCTCTGCAAAGCAGTCTCTGCTGCTTTGTCCGCGATTCGGCGACCACGCTGGCGCCTGCGACTACCAAGCTCCAATGCAGGCCGGGTAAGGAAGAGAGCGGCAAAAGATGGAAGGTCCGAAAGACTACAATATGCAAGGACATCTCATCAACCAAAGTTTGCATCTTAGGTGACCGGCACAGCTGAATGCTGCTTCTTATGTAAACTAGTCATTATGGACACCGGGAAGACACAATCCAATCAGGGGGTTCTGTAGCGACCTAAAGCAACACGACAGTTCTTTTTGTGAACGCCCCCGCCCCTCACTCCTAAGAACGAAAAACATGAATCAACAAATTACGGTGCCTCCAGTGGTAAGTACTTCTGATGGACAGCATCCTGCACGATCCATCATAATGGGGAGCAGCATTGCATAGATCACAGTTTCCGACAATGTAGGGTGTTGCCAAAACGCCATAGCGGTAAGAAGTTTCGCTAACCACCTCCCTTGCTGAACTCCCCTCGCAAGGCTTGGTTCATTTATAGGTCCAAGGGTTATTCCAACGTTAACCGCCGCAAGCCGCAAGAAACAATACATGATAATACCGTAATGTAGGGGCCTGAATAATTAGAATAGGGTTTGCGGGTATTTTATCCTAAAATTGAAATAATACGGACCCCCCAAAACCCTTTTCTAATTGTGAAGCCCCCGACATTACAATACAAGACTTCTGTACTCCAGGGATAGCACCGGAGCTCCGGTGACACTAAATCGTCGTGGTGAGTCGCAACAACATCTAAAACCCTACGCCCTACACCCTGAATCCCAAATCCAAACCCAAAACCCTAAAACTTAAAAAAACGCTAATAAACCCCAAACCCCAAACCCTGGAACCCTAAACCCTGCCTCAGGCTCCGCCCCCACGGTGGCGACGGCTGGGAGACGTCACCGGCGACACGACCGTCTTGTCCTGGATAGTCATTTCGGGCTTTACAAGGGGTGCATAGGCAATATCCGGGTCTTAATAATTGGAACAGGATTTTGGGGCCAGCATACCATAATTATAATGAGGAACCCCCCAAACATAGTTTAGGTAATTATTGAAACCCCTGTAGTACTCTGAACCCCAGGCCCTAGACCCAACTCCACAAGGCTCCTCCAAGGGTTCGCTAAGCTGAGGGAAAGGGCTTCCGAAGCGTTCTCTGAGGGTTCGGCTTACTTTAAAGGCTCCTGTACGGGTTCCTCAAGGGTTCCTCTGAGGCTTCTGATAAAAGTTTAGGGCCGATCAGGCTTTTAGGGCTTTATAAGTTATATAATATTAAGAGATCTGCAGATTCTCTGAGGTGTGTGGCTAGGGCGTCATAAGGATCCATACGGGTTCCTCTGAGGGTTCAGGGTTTTGGAGTTAGTCTAAGTGCTTACAAGGATGAAGGGTTTTGGGCATGAGAGGTATACCTTAACCTACCGAAACCTACTTTTTTGTAGGGGCTCAAGGGCTCCCACCCTAAACCCTGAAGCCTGCCACGACGTAGGGTTCAAGGCTTAGGGTTAACCCTCGACCCCAAATCCTGTTCAAGCCTTCAAGGTCTTAGGAGATACACCCTAAAGCCCCAAAAACCCTTAACCCCAGACCCTACCCGAATGCTCCTGGACCCTCGTAGTGAGATCCCAAACCTTAGCCCGCAGAGCCCAAACCCTTCCCCCCGAAAGCCCATGACCCCTTCAGGAGCCTTAGGGTAAACCCTGAAAAACCACAGAACATAGCAGCAAAGCCGGCCTCGGCCGGCGCATCCGGCTCAGGGCGCAGAGCTTCGTAAGGCAAGTGCTCTCCTGTCAAGGTTTGAGGTTTATAGGGTTTAGGGTAATATTGGGCTTAGGGTTGAGAGTTTGGAGTGTAAGAGCTTTGTGCTAGACTTTAGCTTCAGGGCTTAGGGTTTAGGTTTATGGGGTCTAGGGTAATTGGAGCGCAAGAGCTTTGGGTTAGAAACTTAGCTTTGGGGTTTAGGATTTTGTTCTGGCTAAAGTAGTTCCTTTTGGGGGTTCATATTTAGAATCCTATTAGGTAATCCCAAAAAGGAACTACTTTAGGGCCTATCGGTAGAGTTATAAGGGTTTGCAAGGATTTAGGGTGTAGGGCCTGATCCAGTGCATAGTCGGGTTTAGGTCGCATTTGGGCTTTAGGGCTTGCAGGGTCCAGGGTTTGGGCTTGGAGGTTAGACTCTAGGTAAGGGAAGTGCTGTGCTCATCTTCCATCTGTTTGGGGCTCAAGGGATATTAATGTGGTTCAGGGCCTGGTAGGGTCAAGGGCTTAGGGCTTGGATGTTAGGGTGTAGGTAAGGGAAGTGCGGTGCTCGTTTTCCATCTGTTAGGGGACATTTTAATATTAATGTGGTATGTAGTCCCCATATACATTGGGGCCCATGTATCTCTATGGACCCTTAGGGTTTGATAAAGTCGTAAGCCTTAGAAGCCTTCGAACGCTAAACTCACCACCCTGAAAACACAAAGCCCCTGAGCCCCTTACATAAGCACATGTATGCGTGTACATAGATGGTAATAACACTACTAATAATATAATAAAAAACAATACTACATATATATATATATATACACACATACGAATGTATACATACAGATGGGTAAACAGAAAGACAGAATGATGGGCAGCTAGGGATTCTGGAAGTAGCGCTTGAGCTTCGCTGGGTGCCTGCAATCAGCCGACGAATCTGGTCCTTGCCCTGGAGCACCTCCTGTGTTGGTATGTAGCGGCTGGAGGTCTAGGGCTTCAAGGTTACCTATAGTCTCCATTGTAGTTCTTTTTTGGTTTAACCAAACATATGATTAGAATCCTATAAGGTAACCCCAAAAAGGAACTACAATGGAGACTATAGGTAGGGTTTTTTTCTTACGTGTAGTGGCCTTTTCTCCGGTCTAGGGTTTTGGGGCTTCACGGTTTAGGGCTTTCTGGGCTCACCGAGTTTGCGATTCGGGTTTCGGGAGTTAGGGCTTGCAGACTTTTGTAGTTCGGGTCCATTCCGGGTCAACCCCACCCTAAGGGTCCATGTACCCATGTAGAGATACATGAGCCACAATGTACCTATATAGGGACTACATTAAGGCCAATGTACATAGACATAGCTATATGGGCACATGGACCCTTAGGGCCACACCCTACACAAAGCCTAGAGTTGAGGCTTTATGCCTATCCGTGGCCCTGCTCGCAGTGGCGAGAGATTGGGCAGGAGTGGAAGCAAGCAGTGGCTCTCCCATCTACCACCCAGTCTACCTATTCGGGCCCCCCAGCCCCGACCAACATGGGTGTCGGGTTTAAGGATTGCATTCTCATGTAAATACGAAGTATGGTGTTTGCTACCAGTCTCCACATATTGGAACCCGAACTTGACGCCCACCAGACATCATGAGCCCCGTAAATGCTCGCAAACAATCCCAATGGAAACGATCTAGACCCTAAACCATTATACCCTGAACCCTAAACCCTGAAACCTGAACCCTTCGGTTGATGATACAAATCCTGCATCGCCAACAATAAGGAATAGATTATATTTCCCATAGTTTAGGGTCCTTAAGGTAATGCAGGATTTGTATCATCAACCGTTACACCCACCCTATGTAAGACGAACTCATAGCCCGAACTCCAGAAACTGAGACCAAGGCCGGCGTGTCCCAGCTGTTGTTCACGAGCTTGTCTGTGGGCCTGAAAGCGCTCTATAGAGGGATCTGTAGGGTTCCTTGAGGGATCTATAGGGTTTAGGGTTTAGGGTACTACTTGGAGGATCATGGGACTTAGTAAGGTTATAAGTACCCTAATCGGGGTTATAACCATAGTTACCCTAATAATAACTCTAGTTACTAAGTCCCATGATCCTTAGTAGGGTTCCCAGAGGGTCCATATACACGACTATTATGGAATTAAGTCCCCAAAGCCATAATGGGGATGGTCGTTTCGGGCCGAATTCAATAATAGTAGTGTATATGGACCCTCTGGGGTTGATGTTCTCCAGAACCTTCTTGCTCTGAACTAAAGGTTGCTAAAGGGTCCTGCGGGGTCTCTGAACGGATTTGCATAAGGCTAGCAGGGCTTCTAAAATTAAGGGTACAATACGCTGGTTGATGTTCTGAAGCTTCCATGCATTTGGGGAAGTCTGTCGTAACCTTGAACTGCGCGCACCACACGACCCCAACCCAAGACATTGCATTCCGAATGCCATAAACCCGAAGGAGACAGAGAGAGGGTCAGGGGGTTGGGGTTTCGGGTGTACCTGGTCAGTGTTTAGGGTTCAAGCATCTACGGCTTTCTGGGTTTTGTAATTACGATAGTACAAGATGCCCCAACGGTGGGTTCCGATTAACTTGGGCTACTGTGGTAAACCATTATGATGAAGGCCCTACGAAACCCTGTAGATACCTATAACCATGAAACGCTAAACCCTAAACCCGAACAATGATGTAAAACGAGAGAGCCCAAACAATCTTCCCTAAGGCTCCATAAACCTATCGTATTATATACCTTTAAGCCTTAAAAGGGGCTCCTGAAGAGGTACTTTGAGGCCTTAAGTATGTATAAACTATACTAGGTACGTAGGTACATCGAGCCTTTTTAGGGCCCTAAAACCCCTAAACCCCTAAACCGGGCTTGAGAGGGCATCCTGCTGAGCCTGCTTCCGAAGCCCCTTAATTAAGGAATATACCTTAAATTATAATAGGACCCCTAATATGATTTTAAGGTATATTCCTCAATTAAGAGGTTTTGGAGGCTCTGGGTGAGCCTGCTTCCGAAGCCATTGCGGCGGCTCGGATCGCCACCTGCCTGAAGCAGGTGGTACCTGGCCCCACAATAGGGTCCCTTGAAGGGTACCATAAAGGTTCCTTTAAGCGATCCATACGGGTTCTATAAGGGTTTAGAAGGGCCAATGTACCCAAGCAGTATATACTTTGAACCCAACCTACCTACATAGGGACTTACTTTGAGGCCAATGTATATATAATTTGGGTACATCCACGGGTATAGAATGGCCCGGAAGTAGTTCTAGGCCAAAGTCTTAATGTGGGTGTCGGTTTAGGAATTATAGGCTCCTTTAATGCGTTTTTTTGAGGGCTAATTCCGAATCCGAATAAAATTTTTGGGGTACTAATTAATGTTTTTTTTTTGGCTGGGGTGATTTTTTGGTGGCGGGGCTGTGCTATTTGCTGATGGTCAATCTTAAGGCAGCCACGACCTAAACCCCCACCCAAACCCCCACCCAACCCTAAAACCCTGGCCCTGAAGCCCGAAAATCTCTTGCAGAATTGTTTCGCGTATTGGGGCGTCAGGAATGGGACTCTGTACTACTACTGTACTACTATTGTACTATTGCACTCCTACTGTATGCCTTGCTTATTGGGGGGGCTGCTAGGGTGAACCGCCGAATCGGGGATTGGTACCACTGTACTATTGCTGTACTACTATTGTACTACTGTACTACTATCGTATTACTACTGTACTACTATTGTACTTCCACTGTACTACTGTTGTATTACTGTTGTACTACTGCACTACTAGTGTATTACTACTGTACTACTATTGTACTACGGTACTATAATCGTACTACTACTGTACTACTATTGTGCTACTATTGTGCTACTATTGTACTACTGTACTATTGTTGTACTACTACTGTACGACTATTGTACTACCACTGTACTACTGTTGTGTTACTATTGTACTACTGCACTATTATTGTACTACTACTGTACTACTACTGTACTACTATTGTACTACTGTACTATTATCGTACTACTACTGTACTACTACTGTACTACTATTGTGCTACTATTGTACTACTGTACTATTAACGTACTACTACTGTACTACTATTGTACTACCACTGTACTACTGTTGTATTACTATTGTACTACTGCACTACTATTGTACTACTATTGTACTACTACTGCAATATTTCTACTGTACTACTATTGTACTACTGTACTATATAGTGTACCGCACAAAGCTTCAGACGTGGTCGATTGTGGGTGGGAGTGTGCGGGTGTAGGTTACGGAGGCAAAAGTGCTCAAAATGAAGGGTTTTTTGTCTTGGTAGTAGTCTTGGAGTGATCGGGGCTTGGTTTCCAGCATTTGGTGATCCCCAGACCCCCCCGACCCCCGACCGCGCATTCGCGCAGAACCGCAGACCCTGCACCCAAGCCAACCCCCCAAACCCCGGCACCTCCCAATTCCCTGCCACTCAGACCCCTGACCCCTGTCCGGCTCCACTTTAAATAGAATTTTTCTTTTTGGTCGGGGGGGGGGGGGGTACCCCACTATTAAACCGACACCCACATTACGGGACAAAGCCCCCGATCTGCCAAAACCCTCTCCGAATCTGCCGGGCCGACGCCACGCGCGAGTGGCCGAGATCTGCAGCAAAGTGCATGGAAGTTGTGCCGGCATCGTCCGCGTTGTTGGGATCGGCCTGGCCGGAGGCTTGGGTTTAGGGATTTTAGGGTTTACCTGGACCCTAAGGAACCTACCTTCTTAGGGTTCCCTAAGATCACGTCCTTATATAAGTCTTTCAAAAGGTAGGTTACATGCGGTTTAGGTAGGGTTTAGGCTGCATATTTCAGAACATTGCTATAGGAAGAACAGTCGGGCAACATTAATGATGACCACGTACGGAATGCGATCCACAGTGAAATCATGTTAATTCTGCTGCTACTGCCGGAGAAGCTACTCCTGATTCTCCTCCTCCACCTCATCATCATCATCATCATCATTTTATTTACATCGCATCTGAAACCTACTGGTGCTGCTGCAGGTCGTACAGAGAGGCGAGTAGACTATTCGCAGTGGAAGCAATGCACCATTAACGGAAACACGCGAAGCTGCACGACCTGGAAACAACTACAACACTATACCCTAAACCCATAATTCCCAACCCTGAGCCCAAAGCCCTAAACATACACCCTAAGCGTGTGTAGGATGAGTCATGCGGAGACGAAAAACCGAAGCGCACGCACGCACGCACGCACGCACGCACGCACGCACGCACGCACGCACGCACGCACGCACGCACGCACGCACGCACGCACACACGCACACACACACACACACACACACACACACACACACACACACACACACACACACACACACTTTTACTTTCATGATGCCAGGCCAAGGAGGTGCTCAAGGAACTCCTTACAGCACCTTGGATATGCCTAAGAGTGCCAAGGGCTGTGCTGACATGTACTTTTAAGATTGTTTCGACGTTTGTCACTGGCATGTACACCTCTCAAACTAGGTTGATACAGCTTCGTAGCAGCTACAACCGCATGCTCAACTGTCAGAAGTCACAACAGCCTCATGAGGCCTCTCTATCCCCAGAGCCTTCAACCTGCATCCCATGTGGGCCCCGACCCTCAACCCTCATCCCGAAACAAAAGCCCTGCAGGGCCCTAATGTAACGCCTTAATATTTAGAGCAGGATTTTGGGGGCGCATTATACTATTCTTGTAGTAAGGAACCCTCAAAATAGTATTGGTAATTAGTTAGGCCCGTAAATTAAATCCTTATGGCAGCCCTTATAAAGTAGCCCTTATAGACCCCTTTATCAAACGAACCCTATTACTATTCTAATGAATTACTTAGGCTACTATATATATATATATATATATATATATATGACAGGCAGAACCCTAAACCTCTCCCCTCCTAAACCCTAAACCCTTCGGGCCTTCATCTTCAGCAAGTACTGCAAAATTTCAGCGCGTCCACGCACGGCGGCTGCGTGGACGGAAGACCTTCGATGTGCTTGTCCCAAAGGTTTAAGGTTTGGGGAGGTAAAGGGTTTAGGGAGGTTTAGGGTTTACCCATACAGGAGAATGTAGGGTTTCTACATTAGGAATCAGTGTTATCATTTGGGCAAGTATCCCCCATAACTACAAAGGGTCCAGGTACCATTATTATAGCCTTAGTAGGTTATTTGGGCCCCGAACAAGCACATAATGAAGCCCAATACGGTAGGAAAATCCCTATATACTGGGGCCGAAGTATAGGTCCATGTACCCAAATAGTATATACTTTGCTTAAAAAGTAGGGCCAAAGTTTGTATTGCGGTTGATGATATACATCCCGCATTACCCAAAATAAGGAATATACCATAGTTCCCATAGTCTAGGGACCTTAAGGTAATGCGGGATTTATATCATCAACCTAAACCCTCAAACCCTATAGATCCCTTAAAGGAGCCCCTTAAAGGTACCCTTATAGATCCCTTTTTAAGGAACCCTAGGATTTATATCATCAAAAGTATCTCGGTACATGGACCCTCAGGGCGAGGTCTGACTGCAACTGAGGGCTGGGGTTCAGGGTCCGAACAGACCACGGTTTAGGGTTTAGGGTTTTGGGTTTAGGGTTTTGGGTTTAGGTTTTTGGGTTTTGGGTTTTGGGTTTAGGGTTTAGGGTTTAGGGTTTAGGGTGTGTCCATCGTGTTCGCTCGCTCGGGTGTAGAGCACCCCGAGCCGCTCGCTCCAGCGTAGCTAAGTTTTTCCCACCCTCGCCCCACCCAGACTCAACTCTTTTAGGGTTTAGGGTTTCTACCCCCCAACCCCCCTATCAAGGGGGGCTTTCCCACGAGCGACTGCTAAAGCCAGCAGCCAAGTACGTGGCGGAGAAGGACGACGAAGAGGCTTACGGGAAGACTGTGCCTTTACGGAGCCCCTTACGGGGAGGGACGGTCCTTACGGGAAGGGCCAGTCCTTACGGGGAGGGTCCCTTACGGGGCTGGGTCCCGGACGACGAAGAGGCTTACGGGAAGACTGTGCCTTTACGGAGCCCCTTAACGGGGAGGGAGGGTCCTTACGGGAAGGGCCAGTCCTTACGGGGAGGGTCCCTTACGGGGCTGGGTCCCTTCACAGAAAAGGACGACGAAGAGGCTTACGGGAAGACAGTCCTTACGGGGAGGGTTTCTTACGGGGCTGGGTCCCTTCACACAGAAGGACGACGAAGCGGGAAGACTGTGCCTTTACGGGGCCCCTTACGGGGAGGGAGGGTCCTTACGGGAAGGGCCAGGGCTGGGTCCCTTCTCTGAGAAGGACGACGAAGAGGCTTACGGGAAGACTGTGCCTTTACGGAACCCCTTACGGGGAGGGAGGTCCTTACGGGAAGGGCCAGTCCTTACGGGGAGGCCTTACGGGGCTGGGTCCCTTCACAAAGAAGGACGACGAAGAGGCTTACGGGAAGACTGTGCCTTTACGGAGCCCCTTACGGGGAGGGAGGGTCCTACGGGAAGGGCCAGTCTTACGGGGCTGGGTCCCTTCACAGAGAAGGACGACGAAGAGGCTTACGGGAAGACTGAGCCCCTTACGGGGAGCGAGGGTCCTTACGGTCCTTACGGGGAGGGTCCCTTACGGGGCTGGGTCCCTTCACAAAGAAGGACGACGAAGAGGCTTACGGGAAGACTGTGCCTTTACGGGGCCCCTTACGGGGAGGGAGGGTCCTTACGGGAAGGGCCAGTCCTTACGGGGGGGTCCCTTACGGGGCTGGGTCCCTTCACAGAGAAGGACGACGAAGAAGAGGCTTACGGGAAGACTGTGCCTTTACGGAGCTGCTTACGGGGAGGGAGGGTCCTTACGGGAAGGGCCAGTCCTTACGGGGAGGGTCCCTTACGGGAAGACTGTGCCTTTACGGAGCCCCTTACGGGGAGGGAGGGTCCTTACGGGAAGGGCCAGTCCATACGCTGAGGGTCCCATACGGGGCTGGGTCCCTTCACAGAGAAGGACGACGAAGGGCCAATCCTTACGGGGAGGGTCCCTAAGGGGGTTGGGTCCCTTCACAGAGAAGGACGACGAAGAGGCTTACGGGAAGACTGTGCCTTTACGGAGCCCCTTACGCAGAGGGACTTTACGGAGCCCCTTACGGGGAGGGAGGGTCCTTACGGGAAGGGCCAGTCCTTACGGGGAGGGTCCCTTACGGGGCTGGGTCCCTTCACAGAGAACGACGAAGAGCTTACGGGAAGAGTGTGCCTTTACGGAGCCCCGTACGGGGAGGGAGGTTCCTTACGGGAAGGGCCAGTCCTTACGGGGAGGGTCCCTTACGGGGCTGGGTCCCTTCACAGAGAAGGACAACGAAGAGGCTTACGGGAAGACTGTGCCTTTACGGAGCCCCTTACGGAGCCCCTTACCTAGCAGCTCCTTTGCTATGGAAATTTTCGTACCCTAAGATTTCCCCGCGCGGCGTTCAATCATGTGGATTTCCAGGCGCTTTCCGGATTTCTGTGCGTGATGATTGACAAAGCTACTTATTCCCCAACATCGTCGTTTCTTTGTACATTATCTACACAGTCCTGTCACGAAAGCCCCTTATATATCGCCGCGAACTCTGATAATATATATATATATATATATATATATGTGTATCGATCTATATGGTTCAGGGTGTATACATAATTGTGTGGCTTCTCTCCAAAGCAGGAGCCGGATTGGCAATGGGTGCTCCTGTGTGATATCACATCTACGAAAAATTAAGTACGTCCACATATACATTATAATGCGAATGCACATGCATGTCCTTCACGAACCTCTGCGAGCACGTCGTTCAAGTTCTGGTTGGTATCCAAAGCTTTTCTTGCCGAGCTTGCGATTCTGCCTGGGGGGGAGGCTTCAAGACCTGCCATCCGGGCTTGTGATGCCTTACCCACATGCGTGCGACAAGCTATAAATGCTCATGATGAACTGCAGCCCGGCAAACGTGATGCAGGCTTCAAGCTCGGCCTCAATCATCGAATCCATAACGGATTCGCAACTGCCGTTCCGCCCACCGTGGCCACTACACGAAGCCCAAAATGTGCGATTGCATGCCTGCCACACACGGATCACCTGCTGCTGGCTGTCAAAAATCCAAAAAACATGCGGCAAGTGTGATTTCCATGAGCGACGAGGAGCCTAAAGTTATGTTTTTTAATTTGCGTGCGTGTTGCTGGGATTTGCGTGCGTGTTGCGGGTATTTGCGTGCGTGTTGCGGGGCCTCGGGTCCACCTAAAAAGTACAAAAAGCAAAAAACATGCGAAAAAACAAAAAACATGAGTCAGGTTTGGTTTGGTTGCCTGCAACCCTGTTCGTCTCTGGCGAAACCCATGGAATTTCTGTTTGTGGCCTTCTGGGGTCTGGGGCCTCTTGGGGTCTCTGCGTACCGGGAGCCTGGTATTTGGGCCTGAGTACTAGCTTGAGAAGGAAAGACTCTCATGCATCGAGGAGTTGAAGGAAGTGACCCAAGAGGCTTTTGCGAACAGGGTCTTGGGTCACTTGTCCACACCCTCCCGAAACCACCCCACACCCATCACAATGAACACAGGGGCCCAGCATCATGAGCATCACCCGGGATTTGTGGGCATAGGGAGGCCAATTTGCGGCTGGTTGGGTGGAGTTGAAGGACCGTTGCAGGATGGCAACATCGTGGTCACCAAGCACGTTCTTCCGAATTACTTCCACAAAAAAAACTATATCAATATATGTAGGTTTATTAATTGTCTGCTAAATATCGATATGCATGTGTGTATATATATATACACATGTATGTATAACGGTTGTATACCCAGATAGAGACTTACACACGATGCAGGTTTAAAGTCGAAGTCCAAAGTAGCTAGGCGAACCATCATGTGTATGCCGCGGAGCCTCCAAGCAGCAGCAATCTCGATTTCAACGCGTCTCTAAAATCCATGCGTGACTGGTTTCGGGCCCGATTTAAGCGCTCTTTTAAGGGTTTCCCAGCGTTTCTCTATGATCATGAAAAAAACCCTTACGGAGGAGCGCCTAGGTACAGGGAGGGAGGGTCCTTGCGGGAAGGGCCAGTCCTTACGGGGAGGGTCCCTTACGGGGCTGGGTCCCTTCACAGAGAAGGACGACGAAGAGGCTACGGCGGAGCCTTTTACGGGGAGGGAGGGTCCTTGCCAGAAGGGCCAGTCCTTACGGGGAGAGTCCCCTAGGGTCCCTTCACAGAGAAGGACGACGAAGAGGCTTACGGGAAGACTGCCTTTACGGAGCCCCTTACGGGGAGGGAGGTGCCTTTACGGAGCCCCTTACGGGGAGGGAGGGTCCTTACGGGAAGGGCCAGTCCTTACGGGGAGGGTCCCTTGCGGGGCTGGGTCCCTTCACAAAGAAGGACGACGAAGAGGCTTACGGGAAGACTGTGCCTTTACGGAGCCGGGGAGGGAGGGAGGGAGGGTCCTTACGGGAAGGGCCAGTCCTTAGGGGAGGGTCCCTTACGGGGCTGGGTCCCTTCACAGAGAAGGACGACGAAGAGGCTTACGGGAAGACTGTGCCTTTACGGAGCCCCTTACGGGGAGGGAGGGTCCTTACGGGAAGGGCCAGTCCTTACGGGGGCTTCCCTTACGGGGCTGGGTCCCTTCACAAAGAGGCTTACGGGAAGACTGTGCCTTTACGGGGCCCCTTACGGGGAGGGAGGGTCCTTACGGGAAGGGCCAGTCCTTACGGGGAGGGTCCCTTGCGGCTTCACAGAGAAGGACGACGAAGAGGCTTACGGGAAGATTGTGCCTTTACGGAGCTTTTTACGGGGAGGGAGGGTCCTTACGGGAAGGGCCAGTCCTTACGGGGAGGGTCCCTTACGGGGCTGGGTCCCTTCACAGAGAAGGACGACGAAGAGGCTTACGGGAAGACTGTGCCTTTACGGAGCCCCTTACGGGGAGGGACTTTACGGAGCCCCTTACGGGGAGGGACGGTCCTTACGGGAAGGGCCAGTCCTTACGGGGAGGGTCCCTTACGGGGCTGGGTCCCTTCACAGAGAAGGACGACGAAGAGGCTTACGGGAAGACTGTGCCTTTACGGAGCCCCTTACGGGGAGGGAGGGTCCTTACGCGAAGGGCCAGTCCTTACGGGGAGGGTCCCTTACAGGGCTGGGTCCCTTCACAGAGAAGGACGACGAAGAGGCTATGGCGGAGCCCCTTACGGGGAGGGAAGGTCCTTGCGGGAAGGGCCAGTTCTTACCGGGAGGGTCCCTTACGGGGCTGGGTCCCTTCACAGAGAAGGACGACGAAGAGGCTTACGGGAAGACTGTGCCTTTACGGAGCCCCTTACGGGGAGGGAGGGTCCTTGCGGGAAGGGCCAGTCCTTACGGGGAGGGTCCTTTACATTACGGGGCTGGGTCCCTTACGGGAAGACTGTGCCTTTACGGAGCCCCTGACGGGGAAGGAGGGTCCTTACGGGAAGGGCCAGTTCTTACGGGGAGGGTCCCTTACGGGGCTGGGTCCCTTCACAGAGAATGACGACGAAGAGGCTTACGGGAAGACTGTGCCTTTACGGGGCTTTTTACGGAGGGAGGGTCCTTACGGGAAGGGCCAATCCTTACGGGGAGGGTCCCTTACGGGGCTGGGTCCCTTCACAGAGAAGGACGACGAAGAGGCTTGCGGGAAGACTGTGCCTTTAGGCTTACGGGAAAACTGTGCCTTTACGGAGCCCCTTACGGGGAGGGAGGGTCCTTACGGGAAGGGCCAGTCCTTACGGGGAGGGTCCCTTACGGGGCTGGGTCCCGCACGCCGCTGGAAAATGGTCTCGGCTTTCGGTTATTAGCTTTCTAATAGAGGTGTGCTGATCGGGCACACTAAGCTTGTGTACCTCACGTGCGTGGTCAGGCAAGGCCTTAATCGATGGCGTCCGTTCCAGGCCCAGACTGGAGGCTTAACCCTCCAGTGGCAGGATGCGATTGTTGAGCAGCCTGTCTGGCCGCTCGCAGCGGAGCTGCTCGGGCGATTGCCTGGCCTCGGCAATCCTCGCTCGGGCTCTGCTTCAAGCGCTCCAACGAGCCCTCGCTCAGTTTTGGGTTTAGGGTTTTGGGTTTTGGGTTTAGGGTTTTGGGTTTAGGGTTTTGGGTTTAGGGTTTTGGGTTTTTGGTTTAGGTTTGTTGGTTTTGGGTTTTGGGTTAAAGGTTTTGGGTTTTGGGTTTAGGGTTTAAGGTTAAGGGTTTAGGGCGTCTCGCCGCGCAGCGGAGTATTTTCTATGTAGGATGGCGCCCCAACACTCCCAGGCGTGTGGGGGGGGGGGGCGGCATATCTACGTCTGGCGTTCGAATGCGATTCCACCACCAAACAATTACACATTGGTTCCTGACCTTTTCCCACCCGCTGTGCGAGTACACTGGGATTGCCTTTTAGGGTTTAGGGCTTGCGCCCTCAATTCCCACCTGCCCCTAATCTGTCTGTCGGGGTCTGTCTGTCGGGCCAGGAAGGCCGCACCGGCAAAGAGGCCACGCCACAAAAGGGGGGGCCAGGGGGTAAGGGCAGTCAGGGCCCAGGAAGGGGCCAGGCCAGAAAAGACGCCAGGTCTCCCCTCCGGCCCGGGACGTTTCTGAGGGGGGACCAAACGTCCACCAAGGGATTTGGTCGTGGGGTTTATTGAGATTTGAGGGAATTCCCTCTCTGCGAATATGGGCGCCGACCACTCTCCAATGGCTCCACCCATTGTCCATCCAGAGTTGGTGTCAATCACTGCCGCATGTCCTTCGGGGTCCAGGCACCCTGAGAAAAAGGGTGGGTACGGCCTAAGCAGGCCTGGATGGGAATTTAGGGTTTAGGGTTTAGGGTTTTGGGTTTTGGGTTTAGGGTTTTGGGTTTAGGGTTTTGGGTTTAGGGTTTTGGGTTTAGGGTTTTGGGTTTAGGGTTTAGGGTTTGGGGTTTAGGGTTCTGGGTTCTGAATCTCACCTCAGTACTTGCTACCGGTACGACTGATGCGACTACTGTTATACACCTCTTATACTTATCAGACCTATCGTTTTTGTGGTTTGCAGTCGCTCCTTTCTCTCTCCCTAAGGGTCCATGTGCCCATATAGAGATACATGGGAAACAAAGTACCTATATAGGGACTACATTATAAGGCCAATGGATACTATATGAGTACATGGACCCTTAGGGTCTTGCAGGTTGTGGATGTAGGTTTTTCCCGCTGCTGACCTGGCAATTTACAGAGCATCCTCCACCCTGAACCTTCGTGATTCCGCACTTCGGATGCGAAGTCGGGTTTAGGGTTTAGGGGTTTATTAGGGTTTAGGGGTGGCATGCCTTGACAGAAAAACTTTCGCTTCTGCACGCAATCTTACATGAATCCTGCATATATCACCCATATACACCCCATATGTCACAGATCTTCGATCGTCCTTCTAAAGCATGAACTTTTGAACCAGACTGTTGAACGCAGCTCTGGCACCTGGCTCCGCGACCTCCGAACTCGTGGCTGTTCACTTCCTCCTGGGACGACCACTGAGGTGTTCGGTTCTAGGAACCCTACAAGCAACATGTAAATGTAACCCCCGAGGAAACTCCGGACTTTTTTCTAAACCGCTGGCTCAGGCAACCAACGCCTAGGTAAGTTCAGAGGGCACCTGTCTGCAGGTCTTAGGAAGTCTGAAAGGCTCAAGGGCAATATGCCCCAAGGTAGATATGGCTTATGGACTGCATTTAATTACGTATATCTTATGTAGGTATGATTGGACTTATACACTCTGGACCCAAAGTAGGTCCTACTTTGGACTCTAGTCGCCAAGCCTAGATTACCTAGACGGCAGCCCAGGGACGGCCGAAGGACATCATGCATTTTATAGGTTTTTTTTGTGAACCTTTCAAAAACTATAAATACAGATCCATGAGGTTGTGAAGACCGTATATGTCTCTTAGAGGAACCCCGGGCAAAGAAAGTGGTTGTATGTTCCGCCAATCCAACCTAGCCTCGGGATTCCAAGTTTGGGGGGTTCTGAGCTTCAAAAGTCAAGGCCTGAAACCCTGAAACCCTAACACCCCGAAACCCTAAAAGCCTAACCTAAAACCCTGAAACCCTGAAACCCTAACCTAAAACCCGAAACCCTGAAGCCCTAACCTAAAACCCGAAACCCTAAAAGCCTAACCTAAAACCGGAAACCCTGTAACCCTAACCTAAAACCCGAAGCCCTAAACTCCAAGACCCTGGAACCCGAATCCGAGAAAGCCCAGACGGAACGTGCCTGGACCATCCTTGTCCTTTTAGAAATCATAGACAGAGCCCTACTTGGAGGCTCATGGGACTTAGTGAGTAGGTTATAACTGGGGTTATAAGTCCCCTAAGTGTGGGGTTATCCTAATTATAACCTACTTACTTATAGCCTTACTTACTAAGTCCCATGATCCTTTAAGTATACCTGTATCCCTTGATAGGAATTCTTTAAGAAGGTCTACTAGCCGGTCTGTTTATTCTTTTGGGGGAACCATGAAAAAGGACAAGGCTGGCCTGGACGTCAGTGCCATCCTGCTGCATGTCCTTGATGGCAGCCTCAGCTGTCTTTGGGGTCTAGGGTCTAGGGTTTAGGGTTGAGGGTTTAGGGTTTAGGAGGCTCCACAGGAGTTCCTTTTTGGGTTTCATGCATCGAATAGTACAAGGCAATCCCAAAAAGGAACTACTATGGAGCCGATGGATAGGGTCTACAGGTAATTGTTGAGAGTCCATGCCAACGTAACCTGATCGAGATAAAGCCCGCGTCAAGAAGTCCCATAACGCTCCATGAATCCCCGCTTTACCAAGCGTCATAAACAGCCGGTATATCTTACAACGCCATATCAAACCCCACAGAACCCTAAACCCTAAACCCCAAAGAACCGTAAAGCTTAAAACCTAGACCCTAAACCCCAAAGAATCCTAAACCGTAAACCCCCAAAGAACCCTAAACCTTAAAACCTAGACCCTAAACCCCACAGAACCCCAAACCCTAAACATTACACCCCAAAAGAACCCTGAACCCTAAACTCTAAACCCTAAACTCTAAACCTTAAACCCCAAAAGAACCCTAAACCTTAACCCGAGGTCATGGCCTTGATGCCCTGAAGGTCGCAGCTCATCACCAGCTCATGGATGACTGCGGCCATGGCCTAGAACGGCTTCAGGGGTTAGGGGCTTAAGGGTTTAGGGAATAGGGTTTAGGGGTTTAAGGGTTTAGGGAATAGGGGTTTAGGGGCTTAAGGGTTTAGGGAATAGGGTTTAGGGTTTAGGGATTACGGTTCAGGGAATAGGATTTAGGGGTTCAGGGTTTAGGGATAATGGTTTAGGGAATAGGGTTGGGGGGTATAATGGTTCAGGGTTTAGGGACAAAGGTTTAGGGAATAGGATTTAGGGCTTGAAGTTGCTCAGCTTTGTGGTCCCTCAGTTTCAGTGCTCGGTGTTTTACTGGTTAAGGTTTGCTCTGAAAACAAATCCCCTCAGGATTCCCGCTAAAATTCCACTAGTTAATTTTAAATGAGCAAGACAAGGTATCAGTGTACATCAACCAACAAAAGACATGATGCGTATATATATATATACATGTATATCTGAAGCGAACTGTATGTTTGTAACATGCCATAACCACTCGAATGCCTCATGCGTTTGGCGGTCAGGCAGTCTGGAACAAACAGAGACAAACTGGGCAGACCTCTCTGCGAAAGCCCCCAGCTCCAAAACCGGTGCCCGGCACTCACGGCAAGACTCGAAAGTCCGTCAGCACTAGCCGGGCTCGGGGGTAGCTGTGAGGTTGCAGAATTTCAGTTTAGGCCTAGGCTTTAGGGCTGTTCGGCTTTGGACGTTCCAAAGTCCGCAAGCCTGATTGGTGTCTTGTTTACATTCCTCCAAAGGGTGAGCAGTTGGCATCCGCAGCCCCAGAAAACGACACACAAAATTGAAGCCCACATAAGCACCAACATTTTTAATTGAGTTCCGGATATACATGTCTGTATATGTATGCAGCATGCATATACTATGTACATATAGATGTACTTATATATATATATGTAGATATGTACTTTTATGTGTGCAGGTATATATCTACACACGCACGCACACATTAAAGCACTAAAGTGTACCACAAAGCCCGTTCTGGTTCTTCGGCCCTAAGGACTACACTGAGCTCCGAGCGTTGAGAAGGTAAAGTGGCTGCCGGAGGACACGGATGAGTCAGCTATGATGGCACAAATTCAGCCAACAGCTGCGAGGCGAGAGGGGTTGACTGGACAATGCAGGAAGCATTACTTCTGCTGCTCTTGCCTTGTCGCTTTGGTCACTTACCAGGATGATGTTCATGATGATGACGAGCATGATGACAGCAAAGAGAGTCAGAGAGACAGAGAGACAGACAGAGAGAGACACAGAGAGAGCGAGAAAGACAAAGAGAGACACAGACAGAGAGAGAGAGAGAGAGAGATAGCGTGTGTGCACATGTATGTTATATGTGTATACATGTATACGGTCTATTTATGTACATATGTGCATATGTAGTAAAGTGTGTATAAAGTTATTGTAGATGCTTACATGCATATATGTATGTACGTAGGCATGTACGTATGTGAGCATGTGTATGCATGTACATGCATGTGTATGTATGTGTATGTGTGCATATGTATGTGTATGTATGTGTATGTATGTGCACGTGTGTGTGTGTGTATGTATGTATGTGCATGTGCATGTGCATGTGTATGTGTATGTGTGTGCATGTGTATGTGCATGTGTATGTGCATGTGTATGTGTATGTGTATGTATGTCTGCATGCATGCATGTATACCTTTATGCTGATTCATGTATGTCTATGTATGGATGCATGCATGTATGTATAACAGACCGGTACGTATTGCAAACGATCTGCTCCATCAGCTCAAAAGACATGGGGGTTAGGGTTTTGGCCCCTAGCTCCAGCCTAAGATCCTCAGACTCGACAAATCTCGGAATAGAGACGACTTCAAAGCAAACTAGTGTAGCAATGTAGCCGGCGGCATTCATGCGATTACCAGGTAGTTTCGGACAGATGCTGGCGATCGGCGCTGGTTTCCTTCACGAGAGAAGGATCCAAGGACTCAAATGACGACATGCTGATCGCGAATCCCTAAGGGTCCAAGTACCCATATAGAGATACATGGGCCCCAATGTACCTATATAGGGACTACATTGAGGCCAATGTACATACTATATGAGTGCATGGACCCTTAGGGAATAGCGCCCTAAGTAAATGTGAGCGCCTGCGGACAGAACTTCTTGACTAATCACTCGGATCGGGTGTTGTGCGGGGCAATAAACGACCTGGAAACTTTGAAGTACCAATGTTTCGGACTAGATTCAGGTGTCGACGCATTCAAACCGTTGGGCCAAAAGGTGGTGGCGCACTTCTTCGGCTCGCAACGGCGGGGATCCGCCACGATCAGGGAACGATCCTCTCAAAGGCAATGGTCTAGGATTTAGGGTTTTGGGGTTTAGGAATTTGGGTGTCGTATATGCTATTTTGCGGACCTAAAGAGGCACTTCAACTTAGAGAACCACCTGTATACTGTTGACCTGTGCTGTTTTCCTGTACCTAGACCCCCAAAAGTAGGTAAAATAATGCCCAAGCACCTGTAAAAGGCAATAATTCTACATACTTTTGGGGTCCAGGTAAGCTTGTCCTTGGACGAGCCCCCTGATGCGGAAGCTTAAGCAGAGCTGGTTGAGTTTCTGGAACACGGACGCTCGGGTACTTGACGACAATCCCCATAACATCTATCTGGCACGGGCTGCGTCGGGACGAGATATTTGGGATGCAACGTCTACTGCGCTGGGTATCGAACGGATCTAGTGACCATGAGTGTGTATTTCAATTTTCGTGGTGTTGAATGAGACGCTGCACCCTGCAGGGACCTTGAACCCCTAAACCCAACATCCAAGGTTAAGTCTTCACATGGAGTCTTACCAAACCGGGAAGCGTTACAATCGAAATCGCGAGCGAGGAAAACCCAAGTTCTTCAGACCCGAACAGGTCGCATCTGTTGGTGCACTCTCCCTAAGGGTCCATGTACGCATATAGTATATACATTGGCCTTAATGTAGTCCCTATATAGGTACATTGGGGCCCATGTATCTCTATATGGGTACATGGACCCTTAGGGTCTGTGACAAAAACCAAGTGTTTCAGACCGGGACTCCTGAAACTCAGAGTTATTTCCTACTTAAGCCGCCCCGAAATACAAAGGCTCTGTGCGAACTCGAACTCGGGGCCCAGCGTATGCCATGAGGATATCCTTGATCTCCTGGCTTGAACCCAAGGAGCACAATACGCCCTGATTTGATTAAGGAACATACCTTATAAGGTTAAGGTGCGGGGTTATATACCACGGCTTGACGTTTGTTCCCCTGAGGGTCCATGTACCCAAATAGGATATACTTTGGCCCCAATGAACCTATATAGGGACAACTTTAAGGCCAATGTATATACTATTTGGATACATGGACCCTGAGGGTTCTTTTAGTAAAGATATTCGGCCCTTTGGCAGTTTGCAGACGCAGGGTTTGTGTTTTGGGTTTACCTGTCGCCACAAGAACCTACTTTTCAAGGCTCCTCCTTCAGCCCTATTTACATTACAGTTTTCTAAGAACAATGTTTTACGGGCTCCGTATTCATCATTGTAACTAACCTGAAATCTGCAGGGTCCAGGTAGGTCGGAAGTCGAAGTTTGAGTTTGCGAGTCCGTCCAATGCTCAACCCCAACCCATCCATCACAGCATCAAAGCATATGGCAGGATGAACAGAATACGATATATATGAACAGAGAGAGAGAGAGAGAGAGAGAGAGAGAGAGAGAGAGAGAGAGAGAGAGAGAGAGAGAGAGAGAGAGAGAGAGAGAGAGAGCGAGAGCGAGAGAGACAGAGAGAGAGAGAGAGAGAGAGAGAGAGAGAGAGAGAGGGAGGGAGGGAGGGAGGGAGGCAGGGAGGGAGGGGGGGATAGAGACCCCTGAGCCAGTTCCTATAAACCATAATTCCGGAAAACATTTACCCCAACTCCAAAAACCTAGTTCTACATCCCACCCGTGAACACCTAACACCTAACCCTTAAGATTTGAACTCTAAAACACATACATCAACTCTAAAAACGCTAAAAAAAACCTAAAACATCCTAAAGCCCCAGGGCGCGCCTTCTTCGATGCCTCGTCAATGTACTTCTGGTAGTAGGCCACGATTCCCTTGGCGACTGCTTGCCTCGGTTGAGGAAGTTTACCTTGACGGTTTAGGGTTTAGGGTTTAGGGTTTAGGGAATAACCTACCAAACCCGACTTTTTTGTAGGATCTTATTGTAAACCTTAATATGGAATTTATAGGGACCCTACAAAAAAGTAGGTTTTGGTAGGTTAAGGTAGGGTTTAGGAAGTTTGGGGTTTACAACCCTGAGGGTCCATGTATCCAAATAGTATATACATTGGCCTTAAAGTTGACCCTATATAGGTACATTGGGGCCAAAGTATATCCTATTTGGGTACATGGACCCTCAGGGTAACTGTTTACGAGTCTTGGGCTTTTGGGCTTTAGGGCTTATGTCGGGTTTAGGTTTATGACTCTAGGGACATCGATGGGGTTTAGGGTTTAGGGTGTAGGGTTCGGGCGTACACCGTCAGGCAGGGTCCTAGGTGCGGTTCAGGTAGTTATATGTGGGGTTATAAGTAGGATAACATGAAACCCCTACTTATAACTGCCCATGAACCTCCAAGAAGGGACTTTACCCTGAACCCCGACGTGTAACTGCTACCACCCTAAGCCCTTTATACCGCCCCTCGAAGAACTCTGCAAGAATCCCTCCTAGAAACCTAAGGGCTTCAAGGACCCCCTACCGTCAACACCATAAAGGCCATAAAGTTGGAAACCGGATTAAGGCCAAAATTTGGCCTTAATATTTAATAGTGCTGGGATTCCCTGTAGATGACTCTTAAGGATTGAGTCTATTGGGTTTCCAACTCTTTGGCTTCTACTGTAAGGGCTTCAAAGACCCCCTGTGGAAACCTATGCTCCCAAGAGGAATCCCGGCCTCAGAGCGTAGATCTGGCCAGTGAAGCCGCCTCCCTTCACGCGGAGCCGGATGTCCACCTCCGAACTTCGACGTGGA